GGTCGCGTCTCATGGAAGAACTTGCTCCAGCACCCGAAGAGAAGGCCAAGAATGCGTTTTTGAACACTGGCAGCCGACTGATGGCCGGCAACAATGCCCTCGCTGCTGTGGATGAGAGCGGTGTGGCTACCAGCGAAACCATTTTCGGCAGCAAACCAATTGCGGATCTCTTTCCTGCCACGACTATCATGTTCGGAGACATGGTTGGCTTCACTGCATGGTCAAGTGCTCGAGAGCCCTCGCAAGTGTTCACATTGCTGGAGACCATCTACTACTCCTTTGATTCTATTGCGAAGCGCAGGCGGGTGTTCAAAGTCGAGACAATCGGTGATTGCTACGTCGCAGTTGCTGGGCTGCCCATGCCTCGAAAGGATCATGCTACTGTTATGGCGCGATTTGCTCATGACTGCCTGGAAAAGATGACTGAGCTTTGTCACGACTTGGAAAGTACCTTTGGCCCCGATACGGCAGACCTTCGCATGCGTATTGGATTGAATTCCGGTCCAGTGACAGCAGGAGTGCTTGTAAGTTTCCACTCTGCTTTGCCTGTGCCAGTCAAACCCTCGACGTCGCATCTGCTAACCTTGTCATTGCTCTGGCTACCAGCGCGGAGAAAAGGGGCGCTTCCAGCTCTTTGGAGATACCATGAACATGGCCTCGAGAATGGAAAGCACCGGAGAGAAAAACAGAATCCAAGTTTCTGCTGACACAGCAGCACTTATCAAGGCTGCCGGCAAAGGAAAATGGCTAAGTCCACGAACAGAAAGAGCCCAAGTGAAGGGTAAAGGTTAGTACTGCGTCGTCGCTTGTCCTGTCCCCTTGCTTTCGATTGACTCACACTCAATCACATTACTTGTAGGGGTGATGCAAACTTACTGGCTGAGGATCTTTGCCGAGTCATCAAGTGGTGCCAGCTCCATGGGGACGGCGATGAGCGAGTTTGGAGGCGACGATGCGGTGGCTGGTCTTGTTGGGAACTTGGCTCCATCCATGGACCCATCGAAGCAGCAAGAAGTGGAAGAGGCCAAGCTCAATCGTTTGGTGAATTGGAACGTTGACATCTTGAGCAAGGTTCTCAAACAGATTATGGCCCGTAGGAAGGCCAACCCTCCGAAATTGCCAGCCAAGCCAGAGAAAACCAACGTTAACAACAAGAAAGGTCCCATGCTGGACGAGGTCGTTGATGTAGTGAATCTCCCTCAGTTTGACTCCAAGAACTACCGAAACTATGTCGACCCTGCTACCGTCCAACTATCGACCGAAGTCCAGGACCAGCTTGCCCTATTTGTCAGAAAGGTCGCAAGGCTCTACAGAAATAATGACTTTCACAGCTTCGGTGAGTGCTCTTCTCAGCTCGTCTATGCGCTATTTGAGAAGTGGCCCCCCGCCTCACATGTTGCTTTCCATCATTTCCTCCAACAGAGCACGCGTCGCACGTCACAATGTCAGGTATGTAGCCCCCGCAAACATTCGTCTTCTGTGTGTTGAGCCTTCTCTCACTTCTTTGGTGCCCTTTTTCAGTCACCAAGCTTCTCTCTCGAATTATCAACCCACATGAAGTGCGCGTTCGCAAGGGAGGGTCACTTGGGGTTGCTGAAGACCTCCACGACCACACTTTTGGTACGCTAAAAGGGCCATGCTGGAATCTTTTGTTGCTTCGTGCCTATTATACTGACATGCTTACGTCGTCATTGATGTTTCAGGTATCACAAGCGATCCTCTTACTCAGTTCGCTTGTGTCATCAGTGCCCTCATCCACGATGCGTAAGTGAAGCTTGGCTCTACTTTATTAAGACTTCAATACCTGTGCCGTAGCTGATGATGTTTCTCTCTTCTTGCAATTTGAACACAGTGATCACCCAGGCGTGTCAAACTCAGTGTTGGTGAAAGAAAAGAGCCCTCTTGCAATCAAGTACAACGACAAGAGTGTGGCCGAACAGAACAGCGTGAATTTGGCCTGGGAACTGCTGATGAAGCCAGAGTTTGGAGACTTGCAAGCTTGCATCTATGCCAATGAAGAAGAGTTCCTCCGTTTTCGACAGGTACGGTCTGCCTTGCCCTTCAAATTCGTTTCGCCGATGCCCCAAGCAGTAACTCACGCTTCCGTTTATTTGCACGACCTCCAACGAACAGATCGTCGTCAACGTCGTCCTTGCCACAGATATCATGGACAAGGAGCTCGGTGCCCTTCGAAAGTCCCGCTGGGACAAAGCCTTTGCCATCGATGGCAGTGCCAAGGAAGACGGCGGGGAAACTCATGTTGCCGTCAACAGGAAGGCCACAATTGTGTTGGAGCATCTCATTCAAGCTTCCGATGTTGCCCACACAGTAAGTTGAATCACAAGATGTCGCTGACCTTCCCATCCTTTGTCTTTTACTCAAACCAAAACTTGCCGCTCCTCCGCTTACGCCACAGATGCAACACTGGCATGTGTACAGGAAATGGTTAGTCAGGTTTCATGTGTTCCTTGCCCCTTCTGTCTATCCAACACGTTTGCTGACAGCAGTTTCCCAATCTCCCCCGTTGTCCGCAGGAACGAGCGCCTCTTCTGCGAGGTCTACAAATCTTATCTGGATGGACGCATTGATAAAGACCCTTCCGAAAGCTGGTACAAGGGAGAGATTGGCTTCTTTGACTTTTATATCATCCCCCTAACAAAGAAATTGGCCACTTGTGGTATCTTTGGCGTCTCCTCGGACGAATATCTCTCCTACGCTGAGAATAACCGCAACGAATGGGAAGAGAAAGGGGAAGCAATTGTACAAGGATATTTGGAAACATTTGGCCGGGCTCCTGAAGACGCTCAGGAAAACAAGACTGTTGATTGTTAGATCAATGATTAAGAGGGGCCCAGAATTGCAGCATTGAATCGAATCTACTTCCCACTTCCATCATCCTCATCATCCTATTACATGCATCTTAATTTAGTTCACATAGTCTATACACAGCTTTGCTGGGAGCGTTCGACTAGCTATTTATCAGAAGCATCACAGCACCGGGCCGACCCGAGTATAACTCTGCATGGTAATCAGGCCTATGCGCTCACTCGGGTCAAGGGAGGTTGTCAAGGACTCTTTCTAGTAGCAAGTTCTTGGCGACGAGAGCGCCGTAGTGGCGGGGAGGTCGTCGTTCCCCTTCTCTCTGGACGCGCTTGACTCCCTTGGGGCGGCTGCTAGCTGGCCTGCCAGCTTTGCGAGGTTGCTCACGACCTCAACGCCTCTTGATTCGATTCTCAGACAGTACTTCTGTCTCTCAGAGATGCTTGATCCAGTGCCTCCAAGAATGACTTCCAGATGTGGGGAACCGCCTGTCCAAATGACGTCGAGTTTATAGGATTTCCCCTTCCGTAGATGAAGGCACTTCGATGATGATTCATCATGGCTCTCATGTGGTCCCTGTGCTCGACGGATGTTTGGGAGATTTCCTCCTGCAAGATTTTTGCGGGACTTTGTTGGAAGAGGGCCTCATTCACTTCTGGAAACATTGTCCAATTCAGAGATTCCGCGAATGGCAAATGTGGATTGTTACTGCCACTGATGGTCCACCCCCATCCCTTGCGACATGGAGGTTCGCAGAGTCCTCTCAAGCGACTTCCTACTACAAGGGGAATACATCCATGGACCATGGCTGATGTCAAGGACCGCGATGTCGGAGAATCTCCACATAGTATCAAACAGAATTCACTAGATGCCATCCTGTAGTTGTATTCTTCCTGGGATAGTCGAGCACTCGAAGTTGTGTTGTTTGTGCTGCTACTTTTTGATTTCTTCTGCTTGCCGCTGTCAATCAATCTGACATCCATGTTGGCCTCTGTTGCCAAGGGCACGACCATGGATCGGTCACACCCAGACCATTCGATTGCATGAGCCCTTCTATCGCCAGCGTAAAACACAAACTCGGGTATCCGCGTGTTGTGTACATGTGCAGGGTCAGATTCGATGCGAGTTGTTGTCATCTCTACACTGGTGTTTCGTGCACTGGGAGGAAACTGTACCACATACGGGATTGGTATGATTCGATCGGGGGGCAATCCTTGCCAGAACTTGTTGCGCTCGAATCCCAACGACCAAAGATTTGTGACACCTCCCTTGATCAATGCTTTCACAATTGCTTTCAGCCCAATGTACCGACTGGTACCAGGGTTTGTGGTGGGGATAGCTACTAGGTGAGGTTTGGTCCGGTCCGTGACTCGTTGTACCACTGCATCGGCAAATGCCTTGGCATCAAAGCTACCCTGCGTCAGATCAGCTCGTGTGTTTCGTTGTGGATGTCGTTTGATGGATCGATTATTATTTCGATGATAATTCCAGTGGAGGAGCCCACAAATGACAAAGACATCGGCTCTTTCGGGGTCGGTCGTCCGACTTGGATGCAGCTGGAGAGATCGGTACAACCAAAGCTCGGCCTGGTCCTCGTTCAAAGCGCGATCGTAGAAGTGATAGCCTTCATCCGAGAAATTGCCAAGCAGCCAGTCAGTGACTTCAGGCGTAGGAATCAGGTAAAATCTTGTGTCAGCCGCGGCACTGTTATTATTGGGCAGCAGCACATCCACCGGACGGGAGGCGACAGTCGTCGAAGGCGGCAGCACGGCTTCGTTCAAGTATGATGTAAGAATGCTGATAGATCGTCCGCCAGAAAACCGAATGTTCCCAACTAGCAGTCGAATAGCAGCGGCTAAGCACAAGCACTTGACCACTGCTCTCTGTGTCGAACGATGGACCATTGTCGAGGTGTTTGGCTGTTTGCTGTGAGGACCGTATCTTCGGAACGCGAGCCTTGCCACCACTTCTCGAGCACCTCGAGGTTCGAGGTGCGCCAAAAAACGTCTGGAGCACTCACATTCCAAGAACCACAACTCCTTGTTTGGAGACAATACCCAGACGACGGCGAAAACCACAACAACAGTAACAATGACACTAGCAGGATCGCTGCGTGCATATGTGGCTACTCTGGGCGTCTTCTTTGTTGCTCTGCACACGCTAACCCAGTTTGGGACTGGACCGTCCCCAACATCGGCAAAAAGCCGGCATCTGAGCCTGCAACACGACAAGCAAGAACCCAAGTCAAGTCAGGGGCAGCATGACGATGAGTCGATTGAGAAGATGCGTTCCTGGAGAAATCAATATCAGCAACTCTGCCAAGACGAACGATCGACCAAGGAAGATCTCTTACGTTCGTTATCCGAGCTGCTACAGCCACGAACGGGTGCAAGCTCCGAGCCCAACAACGACGAGCCGTGCAAGTATACTATTTTGGATTTCGGAGCCAACGTAGGTGATAGCTTGGGCAAGTTTATTGATTCGGGCATTGAGCCGTGTCCGGGTAAAGATTTGGACAAGAACCCTCCTCGACTGGACTTGGATACGATCCGGTACTCCAACGACAATTTTCACAAACGAGGCAATCCTCTCATACGCTCCAGCCGTTCCATTTGGAAGCAAGTGGAATCTTTGCCCGAGTGGTATTGTTACTATGGCGTGGAGGGGAATCCTCGATTTACGCCGCGGCTGCTGTCTCTAGAAGAACGTTTCAACCACGATGTGTTGCCCCAACCGATGCGTCGGGTACGGTTCCTAACACAAACTGTAGGAGCTGGCAAGGATGGTCCCACAAAGATCTACCTGGACACGGTCAACGAGGCACAAAACTTTTGGGGTTCCTCCATTTTGCCAGCCCACAAGGACGTGGTCAAGAGTGATGGCAGTGTGCAAGCAGCAGCAAGCGTGGAGGGTATCACCTTGAGCACGCTGTTACTAAAGACGGCGCAAAAGGTGGAGGGAGGCCATGTCCTAATCAAAATGGATATCGAAGGTGGGGAGTACGCCGTTTTGGACGAAGCCTACCAGCGCGGTGTCTTGTGTGACTATGCCCAAAGCAATGTCACCATTCACTTGATCTTGGAGACACACCGACCAGATGTCATTGGAGAGAGCAACTTTGATCTGGAAAAGTGGAGAAACGTGAAGCAATCTTTGAGGGATTGCGGCGTCATATTGCAAACGGGACGAGATGCGGGACGTTAATTTTGGCTAGCTAATCGTTCGGCCATCTAACGAAGAAAGTGTTAGCCCTACGTCTCCACCAATATTAAACCCCATTCAAGGCGTCATCCCAAGCTTTGCAGAGAGAGAAAAGTCGTAGAACTAAGATCTACCCAACTAGTAGCGACTTATTGCTGGTTACTGCTGTGTAGCCTACTCATATGCAATTTGTTCTTGTGGTCAGGAGAATTTAATCACAGACAGGTTTGGAGCAAGGGGCGAGTATATGGCCGGTACGAGTAAAGGGGTATTGCGGGACCAGCACGAGCAGCAAGTATCCACCCTCCGTTGCGCTTCGCCTCAGTTGAGTCAGTCAGGCTCAAGTCATTTTCAATAGTTCCCATCATTGCCAGTCCAGGGTAATGCCTCCCAAGGTTTCTTGAGGCTAGCTATCTTTGTTGTTGTTGTTGTTTGCTTCAGTACTACTCTCTTTGTGCAACGGGGGGACTCCATGGTCGGTAATGCCAAACATAACGACGGTTCCGGAATCGGACACGGTGGCAATTTTAATGGGAATGCCTTGGGCTTGTTGTAGCAGTGTGCGGACCGTGGCATAGTCGAGACTGGATTGATTGTAGTGCGTGACAGCTACCAAAAAGGACGGCATGCCCGGATGCGTCTTGGCAAATTGGGACGAGGGGGGATAGACGCAATAGGCAAACTTTGTCGGTGTGGTGGTTGTGGCAAGTGTCGGTGGAGGCGCCGTTTGAACGTCTTTTCGGAGCCGTCGTCGGTGTCGTGTCGTGCTGCCATCATTATCTTGGAGTAGCGCCAATCGTTGTTCGGTGTAGCGAACGACGCGAAAGGTTTGTTGTCGCAAATGCGCATACGTCAAATAGGCCACGGTGGGGACGTGAAAGGGTTCCAGATATCCGTAGAGTGTGGGAGCGGTGAGTACAACTGGAGGTTCTTGCTGTTGAGGCGTGTCGTCATTGTGGATGTCGTGACACTCCAGCATGCCTTGCTCAAAGAGAAAGAGGACTTCTTCTAAAAACAAATATTCATGGGATTCTCTATTGGAAGACTTGGTAGTATCTCCATTATTGTCATCATCATCATCATCGTCATTGTCTCCATTGTCTTCTTGTCCTGTGGACACTTCTGTGGACACAGTGACCCCAAATCCCCCCGATTGGAATGCCTTGCTTTTGGCCCTTGTCACTCGAAACATGCCCTTGAGATTCTTGTCCAAGTGACAGCATATCGGCAATTGATCCTTTGATTCTTCTTCGTCATTATCTCCTTCTTCTACAAGCATATCACCCCCCTCCTTGGAGATAATGGTATTAGGAGTGTCATCGAAGGTGTCGTCGTTATTGCTCTTGGGCATCATCTCCTTGCTTGTTTCCTCCGTCTTGGGGTGTCGAGTGGGTGGTGGCAGTTGCGTGCATGGTGGCGGTGGCTGGTGGTGTATGTGAAGATCCGAAAGATATTTTTGTATCCAGCAGAGCTGTTGAACTGATCTGAACTTCAATCCAGGCGTTTCGAAGTATCGTACCGTATCTTTTTCGTTTGCCGTGGATCATGTCACTCAACGTGTTCTCGTAAAGATCGAAGACCATTTTCGTTCGACATTCTTCTTTGATGGACATGACGACCATGACGATGAACGACACTACTACCAACAACACAACCAACAGCAACAATAATAAGAGCGTCACTACCAAGAATGGCAATCGGCACAAGAAGGCACCCAAAAAGGGCCGTCAACAGAACAACAACACTTTTCGCCCCGATTGTCTGGATCCCACCGTGACACTGCCCTCGTCGTTGACGAGTACCGATTTGGAAGGCTGTCAGGATTTGTTGGAGGAACTCGCCCGGACTCATTCCGCCGCATGGCAAGAAAAGACGTTGACGACGTATCACCACATGTTGAGCAGTGTGGCCGGACAGGAAAAAATAAAGAAAAGTGAATTCACCGACCAACGACGACGCACTCTGCTCACGAGATGTCTCAAAAGGACCACCAAAGAACAACAACAGCAACCCGCTGACAAGCCAGTCACAGACAAGTCAGAAAAGAAACAAACCACGGAAAAGCCAGAACCTCCCAAACTAGAATCTCCCAAAACAACAACAGGCTTGAGTTTATCCGACACCATCAGAGCTGCCGCGCAAACTTCCACCGTCACATTGCCGGGAACCAAAATCCAACTAGAACCATCCACGGCCGCCATTTTTCATGCCTTACGGCCCGACTGGCAATCACGGGCATTGCGGTTGTGTGATGAAGCTGCACGAACGGCACTCCAAGAAGGAAACAAAGTGCCACAATCGCTTTTTGTATCCGTCTTGCAACAAACGCCCGTCACATTGCCCAAAACCAAATTTACACTGGAACAATCGGCCGCTGTGTTATTTCATACACGGTTCGAGGGACGACAAGAACAGGATGACGCCTTGGCGGCGTGTGACCAGGCCGCACTGCACTTGATACAAAAGGGAAGTAGTATTCAAAAACCCGTCGAGTTCTTTACGACGGTCCTCCAAAAACTACAACAGAACAACAATAAAACAAAGGCAACCACTACTACTCCAACAATAATGGCCAACAACAATAAACAAATCAAATCCACCACAGTAATGGCCAATACTAAGAATCCCGTGCCAGTCAATCCTACAACACCCACCAAGAAGGGAGGCATTCTGGTGCTGGGAAGTTCCAAAAAGTCCAACAACAGTAAACCCAAAATACAACTCTTGCAAAAACCAGCACTGGCCGAAAAGAATCATCGAAGCCAGAGTGAAGGAATACCAAACAACTCTAGTCCAAGTAGTAGTCAAGATGCTGCCACCATTGCCATGTTGCGAGAACAGTTGGATCTACGAGCCAAACAGTGTCAAGAACTGGAAAAGAAAACCAAAGACTTGACCAAACTATGGGAAGCCGAAAAGTACAGTGTGGGAGCGTACAAGGAACGCCTTCAAACATTGGAAACGTCCATTGCCAGATTGCAACAACAACTCAAGGACAAGGACGGTCACGTCCAAGAAGAACTGCAACTTGCACATGAAAATCGAGCGCAAGAACAGGCGGAATACAAAAATATGGTCCATGCCTTTACCAAACTGTCCCAGGAACTCTGTCATGCCCAAGAGGGAAAACGGGAATTGGAAGATGCCCTCGAGGCGGAACGGGCCATGACCCAAGAAAAGAATGACGAACTACAACGCCTCCAACACGAACTGAAACGATCCGAAATGCTGCGACCCACTCCGCGAAACAGTGTTCCGGAACCTCGACGGGTACAAGCGTTGCAGCGGGAATTGCGGCGGACCCAGGAGAAATTGGCCAAACTAACGGGGCAACAACCAAAGCAAACTAGTAAAAAGAAACCGTCGCTGGCAGATTTTGTCGTGACGGACCAGAGTCCGCCGCCAACGCCAACTCGCATTCTTCAACGGCCGTCGTCATCGGAGGAGGCACAGGGGCAGATCCATGTGTTGCAGCCTCCTCGAAATCATGCCAGCTCTACTGGGAGCAGCAGCAACGCGGGTCCCAACAATTTACTCGAGTGCGAGCTTCCCGGCCAAACGTTAGCACCACCAGCGTTTCAACAAGAGACAGAGTGTCAACAACAGCAGCAACCATCCGATAGCACGGAGATTCGCTTTCATGGGATTGAAAAAGCATACGACGAGTCGGACGACGAAGGCGGCGACATGGTGGATGATACCACCGAGATTGATTTCCTTCTGGCATCCTTTGGTGAAGGCGAGCTTCAAGTGGACTCGGACGAGCGCAGAGTGACACGCACTCTGCACCTCGAAATGGATCGCAACCATGAAGTGGTCGATGTCCACTTGATCTTGTCTATGCCGGAGGGATATCCATCCGTGGCGCCTCTAGAAGTGGAAGCATCACTGGCTCCGGAGATAAGTCCCAGTGTTGCGGCGCGCAAAGTCACCATGGACGCACTGCCGGATCTTGTGAATGTTTGTCGTTGGGAAGCCAATGGATCGATTGGATCCGAAGCACTCTTTAATGTCTTTCAAACTGCCGATGAATGGGTTCAGAATGAATGGCATGGGATTCAAGCCAAGCGTCTTCCAGCGGATGCATCCGGAAAACCTTGCTTACCGGCAGCAGGAGCTACCAATGGCAGCCTCCAGATGGCTCGGCTTCTGCTTTCGACGCATCATTTGGTGGATGGGGAAAAGATAAACTTTGTAAAGATGACTGCAAGTCATTACAATCTCGGTGGATACATCAAAGTTGGGTACCCAGGGTTTATTCTGGTGGAGGGGCTGGAGGACAACTGCACCTTTTTTGTGGAGTCTCTTGTCCAACAACGCATGAAATTACGAAACAAATCCAAGCAGGGGGGCAGGTGTGATTCTGCAACATTCTCAGTGGCTGGAAAGGTCATCGTCGAGGTGGAAGAAGAGTTTGAGGGAGAACGGAAGCTTCCGAAAAAGGTGATTGAGATTGACAAATCAAGGGAGGGAATGGAATGTTTCCGCGAGTTTTGCGCAGGTGTGGAGCTGTCCAAGTACATTGATTGATCTGCCAGCTTTCTTCGAGCTCAAGGGACAGCACATCACTTGAGGGGTTCAATTCAAGCCGCAGGGCCTTCCATGCTCTTTGATTTCAACAGTTGGGCCACCGCTTGCCACGCCGCATAACATCATCAAGATCAATGTCTAATGGCAAGGTTGGCAACGTGTGTTCGCAAGATCACAATGCATATTCATGAGTAGACGTGAAGTAATATGGTGCTAAAATTCACAAAACAGACGAGGTGGCGGCAAGAAACTCGAGGAGCAGCTGCGAACTTGCGCAGCGAAGGAGCCTTCGCATTATCTCTCTGCCCTTGCACTTTTCCCCACATCACGATCAAGGCTGCCTGCACTGGATCCACTCCTGCACAAACGGAATGCAACGGATACGTGCATTTCATTTGAGTGAGCCACGGGGCCGTGGGCTTTTGCGGGTGCTGCGAAACAGGGTATCCGGAAGGATGTATCGGGGAAAATCCCGCAAGCACTCTTGCAGTCGTTGTTCGGCATCCCCGTGCGATCGCTTTTGCATGAGGGCCAAGGCAATGAGATTTAAGAGGAAGGCCCGTACTGTTCCAATTGAGCATTGACGGCATGCAAGGCATCGGCCGCTCCACTCGCGCCAACCGCAAAGTTGCAGTTTATTCCTCCCTGTTATTGTGTCAAATTAGAATCTTGGTCCTTTGTTTCAGTTGGAGGAATTGTGATTGGGCCAAATACAAAGCTATTTCTGCCTTCTCAACCGACCTCTTGCTTTCTCTGATGCCGAGGTACCGACCTTTACATGGCGAACTACCTGAGTAGAATGCGGTGTATCTGACGGCCCCAGGTGAAGGCTTCTCTCGCCAACCCAGTTGACCATAGTCTATCATCTAAAAATATGCTAGTCTGTCATCCGCCCAACCTGCAGCCAAGTCCAACTTGTCGAAATCTAATTGAAGACCGGTTCCACGGAAACTATAATATGCTTGCTTGTTGCTTAGACCTGTCCGTCTGTTATGTGCAGTGTATCTGGCTGCCCCAGTAGACCACTGTGATTGCTGCTGCGGATTGCTGACAAGTTGGACATTGTTTCTAAATCTCAATTCCCGTTTTCTTCGTAATGGACCAACGAATGTAATACTCCGCAGAGTTAAAGGGCCATAGCAACATATTCCAGGGCGATGGAACCTTGAAACCAATGGAGAACTGGAAATAGAATCCCAATGCCGCAAAAATGTAGGACAAGACTTCATCCACCATGGTATCTTCATGCTTTTCTGGAATGAGACCACCCAAGTCAATGCCTCGATAGTTGCAAAATTGAACAAAGGACCGGCCGATCATGACACCTCCAATAAGTGCCGATGTAAATGCACTCTGAATGGACTGAATGTACCATGCGATGCTCATTGCGATGCTTTTGGTAATCCACTGCATTGTTTCATGTTTGATTCAACCCAAAAAATCAAGGGTCAGTCATCATTTGAAAAATCTTGTGTAGCCAGTCTTTTGCCAAGAATGCACGATATCCAACTTACGCGAAGAACAACGGGAACCCACTTGTCATATTCATCTTGAAAGAGGCAGGAAATTTATGATGACTTGTATGTGAGTGGCTAGCTGGCTAGTATGACGGAGCATGGTGACAAAAAGAGGCTTACCGGGAATAGCGGCTTGTAAGACCGGGGTAACGACACGGTCACAAGGACGGTTCAAAAACTCGGCAATGGAGAGCGCAAAATTTATGGTTTTGGCAAACTAACGTAGGATTCATGAGATGTGGTGTGAGGGACATGCTCCCAAGATCAAGGCCAAATAATGCAAATGTTGGACACATCCTTTTAAAAACAACTAACCTTGAGTGTCAATACTGCTGCCACTGCCAACCAAACACGGTAGATGGAATACATGGCTTTGTCAATCTATACAAATAATAGAGAGATCACAGAATCAGACCATGCCATCCGAATACAGTAGATTGCCTTGTTTTTGTTATCTCACCTTGTCCGGATTCATTTTTCGTAGAACAAGAAGTGTCTTGCGTTGGAGGTATTCCGATCCGGAAATTTCCGTGACATCCGCTTTCCCATCCTTGTCCTCGTCCTTGGCATCATCCTTTTTGGATTCGTCAATGATAATGGTAACTTCATTCGCCAAATCATGGATGGCAGCCATCACAGTCTTTCGGCCACCATTTTCAGCGGCTTGAACTGCTGCAAACAAGGTTGGGTAGACACCACCAAAAAAGCAGAAAATCACCCCAATCATAAACTCGATAAAGTTTTGAGGGAGCTTGCGATAAAGTTCGAGTGCCTTGCGCCCTGTTATTGATTGATATGAGAGGGAAAAGGTGAGGAGTCATCCAGTAGAGAAGAACAGAAGAACAACTGAATGGGAAAGAACGAAAATCGGGGTACCTTGAGTAATAACCGTTGGGATGAACCAGGTCAAGAAGGCTCCCAAAGGCTTAGCTAAGCTCTGGACGATGGGTTTGAGGCCGCCGCCGGTTGCTTCACTACCGTCGCTCATGGTGGTTGGTTTTGGTTCTTCAAAGTCACAAAAAGAAAAAGAGTGAGAAAGCGGAACAACCGTGGTACGAGAAGCAAAGAACAGTTCCTCTTTTCTCGTAATTTGCACAAGATCTTTCATGTCACGACGAACCAATCAAAACCATTGGATCTTTCAAAAGAATATGACGTCCAACTCATGACCTGGGATACTTGGATACCCCCGTACCTGGTACCGGTCATACTGGACAAAGATCGGGACTTTCACACGTGCGAAAGCCCGAAGCCCTATGTCCACAGGCATGAACCAGGTTCCCCTCTCACATCAAAGACGGCAAGCACTTCCAACTTTTTCTCACAAAACTAATCCTCCACAGATCGAGTTGATAACTAAAAAGATGCCTAACAAGTACGGTCAAAAGCAACAAAAGATCAACTACCTGGTCAATGTGGTGACGGGTCAATTCCGCTCCATTGGTGGGGCCATTGCGCATCCCAACCCGGAAAAGGAAAAAGAGTTTGGCAAAGATTATGAGCCTACCAGATACCAACCGGACGAGCTGCCACCGGCTGTGGACATGCGGCCGTTCATGACTACGGTCGAGAATCAGGCGGGTGCCAATTCGTGCGCTGCCAATGCCATTGTGGGTGGATACGAGTATATTATGAAACGCAATGGCGTCAGCATTGATTTCTCCCGTCTGTTTGTCTACTACAATGCACGTGTCAAGGCAATGGAAGAAGAAGAAAAGGCCGAAGATGACGACGACGAAGGAGAAGAGAAGCAAGAAGGACAGCTTGAAGATGAAGGTTCTCACATTGGACTGGGCTTGCAATCTCTTATTGACTTGGGTGTGTGCCGTGAAAAAACATGGGGATACGACCTTGGCGAGGATGATTTTACAGTGGTCCGTGTCAATGACAAGCCTTCGGAGGACAGCTACAAGGAGGCGGAACATCTCAAGAATGTCTCGCAATTTCAGTTTGAACAGCCGGAACGCGTCAAGGTGGATTTGTTCACCATGAAGCATTGCTTGGCAGAAGGTTATCCCATTGTCATTGGAGTGAGTCTCTATGAGAATTTTGATTACGTAGACTACTCCAAGACGGGCCGTGTCCCCATGCCTAATTTGGAAGGCGCCAAAACACGCGACAGTCACGGTCACCACGCCCTGCTGGTGGTTGGATACAAGGACAGCGCCGAACACTTTATTGTGCGCAACTCTTGGGGCGAGTCGTGGGGTGATGGCGGATACTGCTACATGCCCTACAAGTACATTGCCAATCCCATCTTTTGCAGCGAGGATTGCTGGATTGTCAAGGGAAACCACGCCAACAAGGAAGAACGGACTGACTATTCCCAAGGTATTTGGGATGATAAGGACGAACCATTTGGACCCGAGTTTTATGAAGAGTATGATCCACCCCAGGACGTGAAGATGTTCAGTTTGAATGAAGCCATTCTCTCGCTCTGTTACCAAGGGGCATGTGTCGATGGAATGTCGGAGGAAGAAAGTGAAGCCGTCGAACGCCTCTTTGACGAGTACGGGTTGGGTGATGATTATGGTGACAAAATGGACGCACTCATTGCGTCTCAAGGATTTGATGCGTGGCGCGCTGCAGCGGTCCAAATCGTCATGGCTCACAAGGAAGCTGCCAGGGCATTTCGCATTTCCGCCGACTTTGCCTTTTTGGACGGCAAGTTGACACACGAAGAGTTTGAGTATTGGAAGAAGCTCGGCAAAGAATTGAAATTGCCGGACGAGTATGTGGCCGACACCTTTGCAACGTTGCTGCAGGAACAACCCGACACGGTGTCATTGGTGTTGCCGGCCCCTCTCAAGCTCCATTCCCGCGGTGTAGCCGTGGAGCAGTTGCAAAAGGGCTTGACGGATGCTGGATACCCCGTGCAAGTCAATGGATTCTTTGGCAAACCAACCAAGCAGGCGGTCCGCAGTTTTCAGAAGGACAAAGGCCTCAAGAAGGACGGCATTGTGGGCCAGAAGACCTGGGAAGTGCTCTTTGAGAATGACGAAGAATAATTAAATTGTGTTTGAGAATGAAGATTGGTAGGAAACGGTGGCCACACACAAAGTATCCGGTTTGTGCGCTACCGTCTTGGCATGAGTTCTTGGCTTTGGGTAGCAGCGATGACACTTGAACATGGTGGCGATCATGCTTCTGGCTGCCTTGTGCTTCGAGACCTATCCTAATTGGAGGCGTACCGTACTAAGGTGTAATGATTGAGTCATTCCCATTTAGTTGCCAACAAGTGTGTTGGTTCACCCTTTGATTCTGTAGACTTGAGCAATGAGAAAGCTAGCTAGCTAGTGGGACCTGATACGGTACCAACAAGGCCACCTTGGACCGCATCATCATGGATCGGATCTTTTGATTGCCACCTTTGACCTTATTCGGACTTGACAAAACATGGGTGTAAAGTGTCAGAAACCAACTTGATCAACAGGAAGTTGATAAATCCAATGGGCACGCACTTCACCTTTTTGCTGGCACTTCACTTCACGATACACTGTGTACTTATTGCAGAGACTTAATGATACTAAGGTCGATGCCCCTGATTATTTAACGAGAGGGTCACTAGATTGACAAGATCTCTTCAATGATGCACCACGTACAAGTACGTTGCGGTACAAAGCCAAAGCGCAGCTTGCAACTCTCCTTGCTTGGTTTTTTGGCAACCATCCTCATTTCTTTTGCTCTTTCATTTTTCTTGTTGTTGTTTGAAGATACAGCATCATCTATCTATCTATCATTCTTTTAAAAGAGTAAACAACCATTGACACGATGGACGATTCCAGCCGCCGAAAGAGCACTCGTCGTGGGTCTGCTGCCTTTCTCATGTTCAAGGATTTGGAGTGCAAGGAAGAGATGCAAAAAGTTCGTTTGGCTGGATTCCTTCGAGAACTGCACAAGTTGGCCATTGAAGAGAACAAGGAGAAGGTACGAGAGTCTCTCAATGAAACGGTCCATTCGACAACTACCGCCCAAAGCACGGCGGATGCTCCCACGGATGGTTCGATATCCTTGAAAGACGTCGAATTGGCCGAGTTGACACCCCCTCAAGCCAACGCCAAAATTGAAGCGTTGCATGGTGGTGAAAAATTCGATTCGGATAGTTTGATTCATTTGATTCAGGAGTCTGTCAAGTGTCTGGGCGATGAAGAAACCGTGGTGGATCTGCGTGCTTTGGAACCCAAACCGCAAAAGCTCACCGTCGTGGGAGATTTGCACGGCAGTCTGGCGTGTCTTCAAAATGTCCTGAAACTCGTGGATATGAATGAAATCACGGCCACTGGATCGGAGAGTACCCGTGTGGTGGTATTCGATGGCGACTTTGTCGACCGAGGAGAGCACAGTTTGGAAGTATTGGCTACCCTTTTGCTACTCAAATTGTCCCATCCCACCAATGTCTTTTTATTGCGTGGAAATCACGAGGATAGCATGACCGCATCGACGTACGGATTCCGTGAGGAAATTGAAGACAAGTACGGCTACGAAAAAGCCGATGATATTTGGTACGAATTTGGATTCCTCTTTGCATCGTTTCCCATTATTGCCCGATCCGAGACGGCGGCCATTATGCACGGAGGGATCCCCATGGAAGAATTCGACCTCGATGTGGTGAATGAAATTGGAAAAGAACTCCGCTGTGAATTAAAAACAGTGGTCGATCCCTATGACGACGACGAACGTTTGATTCAAGGCATTATCTGGTCCGATCCCAGCGCCGAAGATGGAATCAATTTCAGTGATCGCGGTGCTGGATTTCAGTTTGGACCCGATATTATTGACGATTTCTTGGAGCGCCACGAACTAAAGTACCTTATCCGTGCCCACGAACCCTTTGAAGATGGATTCAATCATCAAGATATCGATGAAGGAGGACGTGGTGTCATTACCGTTTTTTCCACGGCCAACTACCCCGATGGAGAAGGAACCAACCGAGGTGCCGTCCTTCATTTGGACGAAGAAACCAAAGAATTCGAAACTGTGAGTTTCGAATTCCAAGAAAAATCCGGTGGTGGAGCCAAACCGTATGAAGTCATGCTCAAGTCCTTTGTCGATGACAACAAGAGCAAGCTCACCAAGGCATTCCGTGAAGCTCAAGACGACAATGGTATGGTCTCCATAGGACAGTGGAAGGACATTGTGGCGGAAACCCTCGAACTACCCGATGTCCCATGGTCGGATTTGCAACCCGAACTGGCTCCCACCACCGAACCCGAAGGAACCGAGATTGATTGGCAGGCATTCCTCAACAAAGTCAGCACCAAAATCCCCAAGACGGAATCCTTGGCGGAAGATCAGTTGTCCCTTTTGCACGAACACAAGGATAAGTTCCTCAATATCTTCCAAATTTTGGATACCGATGGATCCGGTACAATCGACGCAGAAGAGGTATGTAATGGTTGATCAAGATCAGGTGCTGGGGCGAGAAAATTGACACTGGAGGGTGCGTGGCTGACCTCTTGCTTTTTTTCTTCTCCCTCTTGTTTGTTGTAGTTCACCTCGGGAATCAAGATGCTCAACGACGAAATTGGAGAAGGAGGTGAAAAGATGCAAAATTTTGCCGACCTGTTCAGCGCTTTCGATATCGATGGTAAGTACCAGCGGTACAGTTGTTAGGCTTGCATCTGGCCATGGTCTCACCTTTCGAGATTTTTTTGTGCCCGTGTTACTTTCTTTTCTCCAGGCGACGGCGAGATTTCCATTGAGGAATTTGTAAACGCGTTGAACAACTCGGCAACTCTCAAGGGAGTCACCGATGCACTCGACTCGAATCAAGTCGAAGCACTGCAACAAAACCATGAAATGCTCCTGGTCGCCTTCAAATACTTGGATACGGATCACAGTGGCGCTATTGACCGTGAAGAGTTTCAGAGAGGCATTGAGTTGTTGAACAAGCGATTGGCAGATCGACACCAAGTTGGGGATCCCATGGCGTTGTTTGACTTGTTGGATATGGACGGAAACGGGGAAATTGGTACGTGGCTCAATCAAGTTTCCAGGGAGATGTTCACCTATTTGCCTTGTCTTACGTCGTTGTTTCCTGGATCCTTTTGTTTGCAGATCTCAACGAGTTCAATCAAATGTTCCGAGTCCTCTAAATTGATGCTTTGGCTAGATAAGGCTAGAAAGCACCTTCAGAACCCGGCAACATCGTTGCCCTCACGCAAAGTTTAATATCACACAAGAGCATAATCATACGATCTGTTTGTCCATTCTATAACTATAACTATATTACTATGATTGATCTTTGTTGTTTTATCACTTTTCACATCATGGCACCGCATATCAGCTAAGGCCCAGCTCACCAAGCCAAGGATTGGTAGGAAATTTGAAACCTTGTCGTCCCAAAACCAGATCCCTCGAGTCCTACCGTCCGTACCAAACCTTGGCCCACTTTCCTCTCCCAATCCCCCTCCTGGCTTTGATGCTTTTACCTCTGGAGCCGTACCGCTGGCTAAAAATAGTCCGTCCATCCAACACAGGCTATTCTACGGAATGCGCAAAGGAGGCGGCCCACTGGGCGTGATTTTCGGTTCGGGCGGAGAAACGGAAAATTTGGGTTTCTCCGAACGGCCGACACATCCGCTGCGAAGCGAAGGCAAAAGCGCAAACTAGCAAACCTCACAAATTTAGCAACTCAAACCAAGAAAACACCAAGCCACAACAACAGAAACCCCAGCAACGTAAAAATCAGCAGCATCATGTCCTTGGCACCTGACTATGAAACTCGCGCTCAGATGAACGACTTTGCCTCCCCCAAAGAGATAGTGGACGCGTTGGCAAGACCCGGCACGGTAGTTTTGGATGTGAGGACCGAAGACGAGATAGCAGAGGCCAAGTTGGAGACTCCTGACTCTGTCCATTGGACCAAGACTGGGTGCAGCCGAACTCAGTGCCCTGCTCTAGAAACTGATCCCAGTCAATTCGTAAAAGACAAGAATGCCACTGTGATTGTCTACTGTGCCAGTGGAGCTCGTGCCAACCGAGCCAAGATTACCCTGGAGAAGCAAGGATACACCAAAGTCTTGAATGGAGGCGGCCTCAAGGATATGCTGGTCTATCCTCAACTGGACATCTAACAACACTAATCCGTTATTCAATAAATCTGATTTATCTATCCTGTTTGGTTGTCAGATTATGCAAAGGCATGGCGCAAGCGATTACTGTACAGGTAGCTCCAAAGCGCTTCAATCATTGCGCCATGGGGACAATGAAGCTAAAAGGGACCCACCCGGCAGCCATTTCCAGTGGTGCTTCTATATTTGTCTAAATAGTAATAGTGCTTCGTTACGTTGCGGGTTTACTTTATTGGCATAAAACCGACCAACCATCAATCCAGGAGGGTTGGTCCAGCGGTCCACATTTGACATCCGAGGATTCCAAAGTCGCGCCGTGGTCGTGTCCTCCAGGAGCAGAAACCATCCACCACCACCCATTCAGGGAGGTGGGACTGAGGGACTTTCATGACTGGTGTGGATGCTTGTTTGATGGTCAAACAAGCAAACAAGAGGAAAGGGTCAAGAACAGCTTTTTACTTCCTTGCCAGATCTGCAAAACAAACTCCCCTTGATACAGGACCTTAGTTTGATTCGTTCGTCGTGGTATCAGCTGGTTTGTTGAGTTTCTTCCAAAAGACAATCTTGTCTTCTCCTGCCTGATAGTATTCTCTAATCCTGGCCTCTTCCACAAATCCGCGATTCTCGTAGAACTTGCGTGTCTTTTCAAACTCTGAAGACCCCGAAGTCTCCACCAACAAGATCCTGGCTTCCTTCTCTGAAACGAGTTTCTCCTCCAAGTGCTCAATGATCTTGGTTCCAATGCCCGTACCTTGCAAGCTATCGTGGACGGCAATCAAATACAGATTCCAGGTCCCTTCGGTCATCTTTTCAGGAGCACAGTAAGCCACTGCTCTCGGCTTTTCAGAATCGTCTCCCGTCAACCAGATACAACTTTCTTCTCCTTTGAAATAGCCAGCGATCATCTCATCCAGCATTTCCGATGGGAAAAGGTCACTCGTATCAATGACGGTCTTGAGGTGCTCGATGTCACTCTTCTCAACGTTGCGAATCTTCAAATCACTGCTGCTCATCTTTGGGGGTTCTAATCCAAACGACTCTACTGTAATCAACAATCCAAGAAACAATGCTCCTTTAGTAAGCAAGTGCATCCGATCAAAGAAGCTTTGATATCTTTGTTTCTCGTTGTGTTTTGTGACAACAGAGGAGGTCCATCATCAGAACACGAAGAGGTGCCGTTTGCTTTTGAGCGTGGCGCACCTTGGTTATTGATGTTCCTGAACGAGGTGACTGACGTCAGTATTGAAAAGCTATTGAGAACACCGCAGATGCACACACGTCTCAACGTCTCATCACTTTTCTCTGACGAGGGTGACCCTTGCTTCAAGAAGTTGGGGCTCTGAATCCAGGAGCGGATTTCGGTTTGTGCTTGCCTTCAAATGAGTGATGAGAAGGGCCAAGCGCTGCCATTGCAGAAACCAAACTGGGGTTTGGAAATGGATAAGAGAAGGATTCAAGCCGTGGGGTTCGAGATGGCTCCTTCTAAGAGCAGAGGCCCGTTGGCCCGCCCAACATTCCTTAGCTGGAAAGTTGACTGAAGCTACTAGAGGCCGAGGCCCAATACAGTATACGGAAAGATAGCTGCGCACAAGGTGTGAGGGAGGCTGGAGACGGATTGCCCAATATTGTTAGCAAGGTGAAGATAGATAGGCTACACAGTGTGACTGACAGTGGATTTCCATTGTGCGTTTGCTTTATGTGTTCTTTAATTAATCCTATCTGAAACCGTCTCGCAGCCTACCGGTATCAGCTTGCGCATATTGTCATGTTTGCTTGTACAGTGTTTTGAGTGCAGATTGTGTGTTCTTCTGTAGATTGGTTTGATTCATTGCTTATGTATGTACACGCCTTGTAGCTTTGGGCTAACTGTTGCTATCGTCTAGCTGAAGTTGCCAAAGCCGTGGTACCGGTAGCTGCCGCCACTGGCACTGGAAGTCGTGTCTCGAAATCAGCAGTGTCACAGAAGATGCTCTTGGCAAATTTGCGAAAGGGTGCATTGATCAATGGTGCCACTCCAAAGGCAGGAAAGATGCGGGCACTTCGAGCCAATGCCGTGGTAAAGTACTCTTTTTGAATAAAGGAGCGACGTTCCCCACTAGATGCCACGGTTGGTTGATTGTACCAGTTCAATCCCAACAAGTGCAGTGGGGCACTAAGCCATTGCATGGCCACGGGGCAGAACAATTGTGCCACCGTGCGGGCTCCTGCCACTTCGGCACCGGCCAGTGATTCTGCCACCACGGGTGCCAAGTTGAACGAGGCAAAGACCGTCATGGAGTCTCGCAAGGCAAATGTCCCAATCGATTTCATGGGAACCGGTCGAGGTGTGCCTTGTCCAAACATCTTGGCAAAGACTTTGTCCTTGCTCACATTCAATCCAATATTGACCGTCGAGACTCCCAGAAACTTGACCATGTGTCGCTCGTGATCAGTGGCGTTGGCTTTGTCGCACACCGAGGTGGCCAGGTTGACCGCCACATAGGTACCACCGTACACTCCCCACAGGAGCAAAAAAGCCGGCGAGCGGACAAAGGTAGCCGGTCGCCTCACCATGGATGCGACGGAATCTTTGAGACTGGCTCCCAAAGACTTGGTACCAGATGCATTCTGCACAATGGCTTGATCCAAAATGCTGATGGCGGGGGCAACACAAAAGGCTGTCATGTCGAGACGAAAAAAGTCAAGTTAGTTAGTACTATAGATGGATGCATTGCTTCCGGACTAGTTTAGAGTTCTGCAGTCTTACCTGTTCCTGCTGCCGCCAAGACATCACTGATAACTTCATTTGTTGTCAACACCATGATGGAGATAAGAATATGGACTCAGAGCAGATAGGTGCAATGTAGACTGTTGGTTCCGGTTGAGGTCGTTTCGATTTTGTGACTACATCCTGGACATACCTCACTCCCTCCTCTCTTTGGCATAAGCGGTGCTTGATGAACCGAAACAACTCGACTCCACTGTTGCAAATTCAATGCAATCCGGACCGTACGACTGCAGTTTCGTGGTTTTGTCGTCGTCGAGGTGGTGGTAGTGTATGTGATGGGTGCACGTGTATACCATACAGCACTGTACGGTACAAGCAACCAAAGGTAAAGGAAGGCTCGGCACTTTGCAAAGGGCCAGAACGCAAATTTTCGTCTTCGGAGTTCTCACACGTTGACATTAATTTTTCGACTCAACTCAGACATTCCCGGGAAATCATGGACGATATCATATCTCTTGTCAACTGGCCGTCAGAGACAATGTGTGCAGTTGCACTCTTCTTCATCATCAGAGAGTGGGAGAGAGAGGCACACCGCGTCTCCTCAACGGAGAAAGAAAAACCGACGTGGCATTGAAATTGTGAGGCAGTTTGGAAACAGAAAAAGGCAACGTCATGTAGACCAGCTGGGAGTCTGGAGTTCTTGGATTTGTATCCACGTTTCAAGCAGATGGGCAACATCATAAAGCAGCTGCGTGTCCTCACAATTTCAAAGAAAATACAAACTCCACAGCTACAAAATCCACCCACTTCCGCAACGCAGTTGCAGAGTTCATCTGTTCATTCACCTTGACGCCTCCAGCTGACCCATTTTTGCGTGCTGCAAAGGGAAATGCTGTAATCCACAGTATTGAAGTGCTGGGTAGCTAGCTCTAGTATCCATAGTAGAGAATGACCAGTAAATACCGGTAGCCGCCATAGATGCATTGATGTTGCTACTTGGTACATGTAGTATGACGATTGCCTGGTACCCTGGATTGACTGTCATTAGAGTTTTCGCTACGTTGGGCCTTGCACCGCTTCACCAATTGACAAGCACCTTTGAAAGATTCAATCCCGACAACAAGGTGGTGCAAGAGATACATGCCTGGGATTTTGGTTTCCGTACCAAACTTGCTTCGGAGTTTCTTGATCCACGGATACGAGTACAGGTAAACTGCTGTCTAGATCTCGCCTCCCAGATGCGGCACCGCATTCCAGTAAGTCTATTCTTTGCTAGAGAGTCCGATCGTTTCCCGGAGATTTCCAAAGCCCACGGGTACGGTACTCTTCAAGCGGCGCTTCCGAATGCGGTTCAAAGGCGCTGGAAGGGTTCAAAGGTTTCTTGCTGCGGATGGGATTGTAGCGGATGGGATTGACCGAAAGAAAAATGGGTTTCCACCAAATAAACCATGTTCATGTTCGCCAAAACCTACACGTAGGGTGGCAGGAGGAAAGGCAGGGCGACCTCTTTGGGGAACACCAGGAGGGTTACTGTCATCGTGTCCGCGGTCGGCGCAGATCCTTTCGATGAGGCGCACGTTGTTTCCTATGTCGGAGGGTAAATCGGCAACAAATCGAAGGGCCATCTGAAGCGGGTCTACATTCCAGCGTTCGTCCTTGACAAGCTGGAATAGCTCGCTAAGCGGGAACAGACGACGATCCTTGAACAGACCCCACCGAAAAAAGTCGACAAAGTTGCTTCGAAGAAGGTTGGTAGAAACGGGGTTTTGGTGTCCACGCTTCACCGTGACTTCGAACAAATCTTTCAACGCAGCCTGATTAGCCGTAGGCACTTTGGCGCCGCTGTCGAGCAATCTTTTGATCAGAGTCGTGGCCTCTTTATCGTAGCAAATGATATAGGTGTCATTCGAGGTTGTCACTTGCCGTTCACACTTCAGCGTTTCGAAGAGGATTGAGTCCAGCGTTGCTCGATTTTGGTTACCGAGAAATCGAGAACATCGCTGAAGATTGCCAGCTTCTCGTAACGAAGCCATAAGTGACTTCTGGATACCATTCACGTACGCCAGGGTTGAAATCGATTTCATCTCAGACGTTACGGTGAAAGCCGTCGTCTTGAGAGGGGGCCCTTGAGCATGCAGCTTGGAAAAGGAGGGCGGTCCAGCAAAGTAGGAATTGCTCCAAACGTTATAGTTGAGCATCGAAAGCCGCTGCACGGTGCTGTTTTCCGTAACAGTGAACTGTTCAGCGACAACTCCGCTGTACGCAGAGAGAATGCCCCACCGAAGGAAACTCTCATGGCAACGTTGATGGAGCTTGATCAAGGTAGTCGTGGACGTACTGGTGGGCGTTGCCTGCAAATGGAAGTTCAGCATCCGAGCAACTTGGGGTTCGTCAGACCTCGGAATGGTGGCTCCGTTGTTGACAAGCCATTCCACAAGGAGCATACCAGTGGGACTGTATGAGACGACGTTGCCGTAATATACAATGTACCGCTCGCACTTGAGGATCTCCAAAAGAATCGCCGTCATCTCATTTGAGTGCAAGCGTAGCGGCAACTGGCTGTGAGTGTTGAAAGTAGCAGCATTCTTCTCCACTATCGCGAGCAACTGATTCGTGGCTATCTCGGCTGGGATAGGGAAGACCGCGAATCGAATTCTCAAGGCTTGTAGTTGGTCTAATTCCTTCTGACCACCGAGGCTACGTGTCTCCGAGACAGGAGCAACGTCACTTCCATCTTGTTGTAGAATTCGACTAGCCGTTGCTAGCCGCCGGGAGGAAGTTGAGGACTCCATGTTCGTCGTCGAAAGATGATCAAGAGTGATGAATGGTGCGGCCTTGCCAAACGAAATCTCGTTGTGGTCCACAGTTCCAGTGGACGGACGTACAAATGGTGAAGAAACAGCGTTTGTTCACAGAGGAAGGACAAGAGCGCCTTTGAGGACGAGTGAAGAACGTGTGTGAAGTTGAGTTCCACAAGCAGAGAGGGTGACAGTCACGGACACTCGTGACAAAATTCAGCCTTTTGCTGGAGAAGGAACCAACGTCTTTCGCACCGTGACCCACCCGGCGAAAGCGCTTGGTAGAGCCCTGATATGGTACGTAGTCTACTAGATAGTGTCCTCTCTTTTCTTCGGCTGCGCAAAAGACATCCAGAAAACATTGCTCTCTTGTTATCTGTACAACTACTTGGACTGCTCGTCACAAGACGAGGGGTCCTCGACTGACAACTCTTGCTGCATTCGAAAGAGAGTGTCTACAGTGAAGCCAACGCCTAGCCCATGCCGTTCAATCGGGCGCCCTTCAAATCGATCATCGTTTTCCAACGAGCTGATGCATTCGCACTTGGGGCATGCAAAGTACTTTAGATCTGCTGTGCAGAAGAGATACTTGGAGCAAGATCGACAAGAAACCGGAGTGAAGAAATCATTGGCAACTGCCTCGCGGGTCTCATCGGCCCGTCGAAGGCGCTCCTTGACACCGGGTGTGATTTCGACCATAACGGCCTTGGTGTCGGCTTGAGCTTCTGAAGACGATGGACACACCGTGTATTGGCCCTTGGGGAATGCCTTTTGGGTCTCTTTGCTGACCTGCTGCGACTGGTTTGCAGGGGGTGGCGTTGCGGCCCTGGCAGCAGGAGGCTTGGTGTTCAGGTAGGACCCCTTGGTTGATGACGAGGACGAACGACTGCAACCCATTTTTGCAAAGCCACTTCCAGGGAAGGCTTGGACATCTGTGACATGGTGGCCAGGTGCAGGTAACTTCTCCCATTTAGGAGGATAGCTCTCATTGTCATCAAAGTCGCCGTACTGATTGTACTCCGGTGGAGGCCCCGCCATGTGGTGGGCTCCTGGTCGAGATTGGTTTGGGAGTTGCCGAGAAACTTGCTGCAAACACGGGAGATCACTTTCAAAACGAAGCTGTGGTCCAAGCACGCTTCGTTCCAGTTCATCCCATGGTTCAGGCATTGCACTGCGAGCGGTACGGTACATGTCTTCAGCCGGGGCACCAGTGTTGGCGGACCTGCTGGAATGGGTAGACTGATGTGGCAATGGCAATTGCGACCTGTGGCTATGCCGAGAAGTTGGTTCCAAGATTTCATCTACCAGCCAAAGAGGAGCCGATATGGGGCGGCTCGGATAGCGGTAACGAGGTGGTTCAGATGCTCTACTAACGTTGCTATCGCAGTAGCCATGGCGGTCCTCCCTTGTGTAACTTCGGTCGTCATAGTATCCATGCCTCTCGTCGTCGTTGTAAGATCTCGTTCTCCCGCGGTTCATACTATGATGGCGGTCTTCTAAAGCAGAGTAACCTCTTCTTGAGTGTGAAGGTCGGGATCTATACTCTCCATCATATGACCTGGATGAAGGGGGCATTTCTCCTCTGATAAAACGGGTATCAAAGCCTAGATCTTCAGCTCGAAACTTGAAGACTCTGGCACCTCGTCTACTATCGTCAGATGGTCTGAAATCAAACTCTGAAGGCTCAAGGTGCCGGCGGTAGGGCTCGTCTTCTACCCGATACTGATCAAGATAAAGCAGTGGACGCAGAAACATTGTATAAATGAGCACAAGGGATCAAACTTGGGTGCTACCGTTTCTGAAGCAGCTACTCGGTTCTTACCTCTCGATCGTATCTGTAGCTGATGGTGTTCTTATCTTGAGTCAGAGATGACACTGTGGACAAGCTAGTGGAATAAGAACTCCTGATAGCCATGGTGCTTCCCACACTGCGATCAGATTCCGAGGATTCGTGAAAGTATCGCTCCTGTTGGTTATGTTGTGCTCTCCTGGATATTTGAATTTCGCTGGGGTATGGTCCTGATCTCCCTTCCTCCTGAGACGACAAGACGCTTCTATTGGTAACAACACCTCTGTGGCCATATCTCCTGCTGGATGCTTCAGTGCCAGCACAGGCAATGGAACTACTACTCCCTCTGCTGCTTCTGGGATGCTGTCTCGAGCTATTGTTGCTCCCAACCAATGATGATCGGCCGTCATGGTTGGCTACCCTCTCCATTGTCCAACAAGCTCACCGGTAGTCTAGATACCTGCGGCTGGTAGTTACCGGTAGTTAATACCGTATTTTGTAAGGTAAAGACTGGTCGACACAAGCTTGTCCACTCGACTCGACTCGGCTCTTTCACTAGATTGATGGTAGATAGCAGTAGAGACTTTGTGCTTTGAGCACAGCTGCCGCGGCGCTTTCTTTTTTGTTTGTTGTCTGGCTAGCTAGGTGCTCGTCGCTGGGACTTCATTCCTCTTGTTCGCTATGTTCCACCATCCACGGAGCTGTGCCGAACAGCCCCAAAGGCAGCTCAAACACACATGGCTCACACATGTAGTAGACTTCGGCAAATATGCCTTCCTCCAATCATAGCTGCAAACATGCGCCTCTCCCGAAGCCCATCTTACGATACCGTTACCTTCAACACAAGTGATAGTACAGCCATTCCTACTGCAGGCTCACAGTGTAATCTCTCCAACCCGTTCACCATATTTTCCAAATCTTTTCCCAGCAACTTTTGGATCTTGTGCAGCTCTTGTCCTTTAAATCAGTCTGACAATCAAGACGTGACTCATTGAGATGCCTTGAAGCTAATCGGAAATATACTTCCTGGAACAGAGCGCTCGCTTCTTCCACACTTTATCTTTGGCTCCAGTAACTCTCGAGTACAGCGAAGGCTTTACCTGGTACCCGTAGGGGCTCTTTAGGACTTTAGGATCTGATTGTGCCGGTTCCAGAGACAATAGAGGTGACACAGAGCACTAATTGAATCTGATTACTTCCTTATTGAGCATCTAAATGTGTTAGTGGTTCGGCGGAGAGTGAAGCCACTGGCCAAATTCAGTTCCAATCGATGTCTCCAGAATGTCGATTCCATGTTCAACAGACATTAGATTGCTCATCAGAGTGAGTTGATGATCTAAGCACATTCTTGTGCAACCATTCCGGGGGGAAGTTACCATCTATCTAAAATCTAGAGGATCTTGGACGGGCACCGTTGTCCGACCACATTTCCAAGGTTTCAAGAGATAATTCAATGAGCCATCATCGAGCCACCCAATGGCTATCCAATACCACCTATCCAACTAGCTAGTACCGGTACCTGGTAGCTCCTTCGCAGGTTTGCTGCTGGATGCCCTGGAAGTTTGGAAGAGAGGAGCTTTCATCGCCAGCTAGAGCATCGTTGCCAGCTAGCTAGAGCATCGTTGCCAGCCTTCATTACATGCATTGAGATGCCGGTAACGGTACCACGGTAGGCAAGGTCATTTCCTCAAAAGTAGCTCTGCAACTGCCACTCGACTCCCGCGGTCGGTTCGTGGTCACTTCTCCTTCCATGCTGGTGGGCCGGTGCGATGCTGAAGCACCATTGGCCTTACCCTGCTTACCCTACTATCGTGGCACCTGCCTAGTGAACCACCAAGCTACTAGTAGCTCCTCGGTTGACAAGACCAGACCTTATTTCATTCGGCGATGAACCGTTCACAGAGAATCTACATGTAGTAGCTTATATTACATACAAAGAAGACTTCCTCACAGGCTGCGTGTTGACTTCTTCAACAGAATAGTAGAGAGCCACCCGCTCCTCGTGCAACTAAGCTTTGAAATATGACCGCATAGCTAGCTAGATACTGGTAGCCAGCCTGGCATTCAATACGGGGCGAATGCGGCACTACTAGCTAGGCTTCAGGTGTTCGTGCTGGGAGTCGAGTCGAGTCGAGTCGAGTCCACTGATGCCATTCTGGGGCTTCGACGCTGCGCAGATACTTGACTGACTCACTCCACACTAGCTACATGTACCAGGAGACTCGACTATTATCCATCAAGCTAGCGAGAGGTACAGTCGTACCGGTAGCCAGAAATGGCAGCCCGCTTAGTGCAAGCATAGTCTGACCAAGCAACCGGCAGCCACGAACGCTAGAACACAAATTACTACAGTGTCGTGACGTCGTGACCTACGTACAACATACAGAACGAGTACGGTACGGCCTCGTCGTGTTCCGCAGGACCGAGCCACATCGCTCCTCATCCAGAACTCTTCGCCATGGCCTGGCCCATCGTGGCAACACAATGGAGGCCCGCAATAGCCCTGGGCACATGCAGGCTGTCAATGGGTTGTGCAGCATGATCCCCAGCTTTGCAGGTGAAGGAAAATTTTTTGCCGCCAATCCATGGAGTAGCAATGGACCAGCAATGAAACGAACGTTTACGGTACACCATAGATTCTACATTTTGTACCATGAACTACAACTACTAGGGTATAACTAGAAGACGACCACAAACATTAAAGTATTAGAAGCTGGCATTGCCACTAGAAATCCCACTACTATGAGTTTTAATGCTATTATTAATATTTGACTAGGAAAGGTTGCTGTACAGTATGTGTTGTTGTTTGTATTGGTTTTGGTTGATTGTTGTGTGTAGCATCATTGATAAGGCAGGTTAGTAGTCAGATTTCCACCAGGTATTAACTTCGATGCAAGCATCATGGGACGTTCAGACAACACTCTACAAGTAGAGATGTCGCTTAGCACTGGAACCACAGAACCAGGCTACCCTTAAGTTGGTTAGACTTTGAACAACTGCACTCACCTCCGCTGAGTTAAAAGTTGAAGGCAACCGCCAGTGCTCCATGTGACAAGTTGAATGCACAGTGCCACACAGTGAAGTATGCACACATGCAAAAAAGTTGAATAGTTGAATGCACCCCACCAGTGCTTCAACCCAAAAAGTGAATAGTTGAATGCACCCACCAGTGCAGCTTCAACGCGAAACTAAAGTTGAATACACCCACCAGTCTTCAACAGAAGTTGAAAATTGAATGCACCCACCAGTCTTCAACATGAAGTGAAAGTTGATGCACCCACCAGTGCTTCAACAAAAAGTTGAATAGTTGAAAGCACCCCACCAGTGCTTCAACAAAAAGTTGAATAGTTGAAAGCACCCCACCAGTGCTTCAACCCAAAAAGTTGAATAGTTGAATGCACCCACCAGTGCAGCTTCAACGCGAAACGTGAAAAGTTGAATACACCCACCAGTGCTTCAACACGAAAGTTGAATAGTTGAATGCAACCCCAGTGCTTCAACCCAAAAAAGTTGAATAGTTGAATGCACCCACCAGTGCAGCTTCAACGCGAAACGTGACAAGTTGAATACACCCACCAGTGCTTCAACACGAAAGTTGAATAGTTGAATGCACCCCACCAGTGCTTCAACCCAAAAAAGTTGAATAGTTGAATGCACCCACCAGTGCAGCTTCAACGCGAAACGTGAAAGTTGAATACACCCACCAGTGCTTCAACACGAAAGTTGAATAGTTGCATGCACCCGCCAGTGTTGCACTCAATGTGTTGTGTTTGTGTCGTGTCGTGACATAACCTGTAGTAAATGAAAGGCTTCAGAAATGTTAGTGAATGAACGAACATATGTATTGGTTGGAAGGCAATGGCACAGCACAAATTGACTTATCTTTCGTTTCTTTTGTCCCCCATAGAGGAGGGGGCCGGCCTCTGTGTTGCTCATTTCCAAGTGGAATCCTACAAGAAAAGCGAACAAGGCATTAGTAGTAAGGAGTCACTCCAAGTGGAGGAGGGGGGGGGACGAGCAATAGCAATGCACCGCAGGTTGGAACTTACCTTGTGCCTGGCCAGGACTTGTGTGTGTTGTGTCATTTCCAAGTGGAAGCCTACAAGAAAGCGAACAAGGCATTAGTAGTAAGGAGTCACTCCAAGTGGAGGGGGTGGGGCGGACGAGCAATAGCAATGCACAGCAGGTTGGAACTTACCTTGTGCCTGGCCAGACTTGTGTGTGTTGTGTCATTTCCAAGTGGAAGCCTACAAGAAAGCGAACAAGGCATTAGTAGTAAGGAGTCACTCCAAGTGGAGGAGGTGGGGTGGATGAGCAATAGCAATGCACGACACGCAATAAAACCATTGGGAACTTACCTTGGGTGCCTGGCCAGGACTTGGTGTTGGTTGTGTTGGGTCGTCACCAAGTGGTGGCCTGCAAGCAATAGATTGAAGAATGGGTGAGCTGTGGTAGGAAGAGACAAGTGGTTAGCAAATTGTCACTCAAGTGGAGGCTGCAAGCAATAGATTGAAGAATGGGTGAGGCTGTGGTAGGAAGAGACAAGTGGTTAGCAAATTGTCACTCCAAGTGGAGGCCTGCAAGCAATAGATTGAAGAATGGGTGAGGCTGTGGTAGGAAGAGACAAGTGGTTAGCAAATTGTCACTCCAAGTGGAGGCCTGCAAGCAATAATAGATTGAAGAATGGGTGAGGCTGTGGTAGGAAGAGACAAGTGGTTAGCAAATTGTCACTCCAAGTGGAGGCCTGCAAGCAATAGATTGAAGAATGGGTGAGGCTGTGGTAGGAAGAGACAAGTGGTTAGCAAATTGTCACTCCAAGTGGAGGCCTATGAAAGAAGCCTACATGCAAAGAGAGCAAGGTGTCAGTAGTTCTTCTCCAAGTGGAGGCCTATAAGACAAGACACAATGGGTTATGTGCAACAGTAGTCAATTGACAATGGCAATGCAAACAGGACACACGAGATGACTTACCTGCTTTTGATGACCACTGGCTGCATCTGAGGAAAGAGAAAGAGACAATGGGTTATGTGCAACAGTAGTCAATTGACAATGGCAATGCAAACAGGACACACGAGATTGACTCACCTGCTTTTGATGACCACTGGCTGCATCTGAGGAAAGAGAAAGAGACAATGGGTCATGTGCAACAGTAGTCAATTGACGATGGCAATGCAAACAGCACACGCGAGATTGACTTACCTGCTTTCGATGACCACTGGCTGAGAATTCATCACACTAGTCGACTGCACCTGCCAGTGCTATTCATGTATCCCGCCGGATGCATGGTGTCAGTTTCTTGCAGAACATTTCGCCAAATGTTCGCTTTCCAATGACGAACCCAATCAAGAAGAGTGGAACTCTCCAGAGAAGGGCCGCCAAGTTGTACAACATGAAGTCGACACGCGCCGCAGCGACTTCATCGCGGATCTTGCGCCATTCCGCTTGTTTCAGGCCAGGGAAGCAGTTAAGAAGCTCTCCTCCATTGGCTTTCACTGCACATTCGACGATACCACGATGGTAGTCGACCTTGCGGTAAATTGTATTGCAGTTTCTGGTTGTCAGCTTTCGCTCGGCAGACGGCTTGTGGTGGACGATGCAATTCACCTTTTCATCGAAAACCACTCGGCGTCCCTTTCGGTTTCGCCCTGGGACATTGCGCTGTTTCGACTGTCGCCCGTAGCCTTCTTGTTGCCAGCGTCTGGTGGCCCATGCCCCCCATCCTCGTCGGTTTTGGCCCTTCTTCTTCGTCTTTCCTTTGGTTGTAGGTGCCTTCTTCAACTTGGCTGGCACGGTTTGAAAGTCTTGGACGTATTCCGAGAATGGTTCCATCGAGTTCATCAGCTCTTCATCAGTCATCGAGTCCAAATCGACAATCAGCTCATTGTTGTTGTTGGCGACGACCACTGGATCCATCGCGGGTTTGTTGTTGTCATCGTCCTCTACTTCAGTCTCGACGACATTCGGCTGATTGTTGTTGTTGGCGACGATCACTGGATCCATCGCGGGTTTGTTGTTGTTGCCGTCCTCTTCTTCAGTCTCGACGACAACCGACTGATTGTTGTTGTTGGCGATGACCACTGGATCCATCGCGGGTTTGTTGTTGTTGTCGTCATCAGTCTCTTCAACAGTCTTGATGATGGCTTGCTTGCTCTCCTCTTCCACAGTCTGAGCGGCGGCGGCCTGTTGTGGTTGTTGTTGTTGGACACTGGGAGCAATGTAAAGGACCATTGCACCAGGGCCATAGGCATCCATGGCAGAAGAAGTCTTCGTCATCTTCTCATCTGCAGTGGCCTCGAAGTCGTCGTCCTCTTCGACAGTCTCGACTACGACAGTGGCGGCGGCTGCCTTGAGTGGGCGGACAGCCTTGACTTGTTGTTGTTGTTGGTCAGCGACGACATTCTCCTGGTCATTGACGGTGGTGGCTGCCTTGAGTGGGCGGACAGCCTTGACAAGTCGTCGTGCCGCGACTTGAGCTGGAGTGCTGATGGTGTTGTATAGCGGGAATTCGGCACCGCCAACGCACACTGTGTCGCCATCGACATTCTTGTGGTGAGGCTGGAACATGGTCACCTTGACGACGGTGGTGGCTGCCTTGAGTGGGCGGACAGCCTTGAAAAGTCGTCGTGCCGCGACTTGAGCTGGAGTGTTGATGGTTTCATACAGCGGGTATTCGGCACCGCCAACCAACGCTGTGTCACCATGGACATTCTTGTGGTGAGGCTGGAACATGAGCTCCTTTCGACCGTCATTGCTAGTGGATCGTCGTCCTTGTTGTCCTTTCTTCACCATGGACATCGCCACGACAGTAGCAAGCAAGACGGCAACGGCGTCATTGGGTTTGTTGATGTTGTTGTTGGCCGCGTTTTCTATGGGCGTGTTCATCATGTTATTGATAGTAGTAGTATCGTTCTTCATTGCCTCGGCCATGGTCAATTTATGTTTGAGGTGGAAACTTAAAGAAGAGCTTTTGGGATTCCTGAAGATTTGGTAGTAGTAAGTACCTGGTAGTGTTGTAGCGTTCAGAGTGTAGCGAGTGAAAGGGATTCGGCGTACGTCTAATCGAGAGTGTAAGTATGTCTTCCAGTATTCTAGAAAACAAATTTGTGAGCTCTGAATGAGGTTGTCTCATTTTTCGTCCCTTCCATGCCCATCAACATGACGAGAAACACCAGCTGAAAACCGGGATTGAGCTCCGGTAGGAAATCATCACGACGCCTGACGGAATCAGACAGCTGTCTGATGGGCGATGATTTCTCTATGACAATGGACAATGGGGGCCTTCCCAAGGCACCAGGGCATCAAGACAATGTTGTTGGAGGATGTCGGAGGATGCTGGAAGGTTTGCGGCGCCATGGTGGAGGCTTTCCGAGTGCGTGTGATGGCGTCAGGGTCGACGACGTTTCAGTGATGTCCGTCACTTAAGTCTTTCGAAATCCATCACCTAAAGCTTAAGGATTTAGAAACGGGACTGGTGCGAAAATGGGAAAGGTCTGTACCTTGACTGGGCCCTTGGTGTGATGAGGGATGACGCTGTGAAGGTCCTTTCCTGGACGATGGCGGCGTTCGACCATGTGTGGGAAGGCTAGCTTAGCTATCTAGCTTCGTCCGCTTGAAGTACGATGAGTGGGCTAGCCGTTGGGCGTTTGAAATTTGACTGCGGAGCTGAAGGAGGAGTTCCGATGGGTGCAGCTCATGGCGGTGTTTGCAAGCTTGGATGTGCATCGTGCTGCCTTGTCAGCACGGTCTTTGTACGGAAGAGAGTTAGAATGAATAGCACTATAGTTAGTTAGTTGAACGGGTTTTGTATTGTAGTATTTGAACCGCCGTAGGTCCATCAGGAGAATTTCTCTCTGCTCTGACGGATTGCAACCGAGTCTCTCACGGCGCGATGAAGTTACGCACAGAAGCCCGTCATGTGACCCTGTTTTGCTCTATTGCTTGCACGGAAGACGGCGCTGAGGCGACCGGTTTGGTGAAAACCTGGTAGGTTCGTCTTGGCACGGCGCAACACAGAGGGAGATGATGGCAAGGGCTGCGTTGCGTGCTGGCTGGCGACAGGGAAGCTACAATGTACTGCTACCTTTTCAATTCTTCAGTAATGGATATCCTGGCTTCAGGTATCCTTAGCTTCTTTTCTGTCTACAGGCTGGGCCGTCGGGGAAGGCCCCAGCAGTTTTGCTTCAGATCATCGTTGCGGCCAAACTTCTTGCGTCCCAGTACCTAACAAAAGTAGCACTGCGCCTAATTCAGCCCATCTTATTTGCTTTCACACTTCAGATTCCTCTCGACTGCACTGTTTGCCTGGTGTCACCGCAATGCCCAGTAGCACTGCATATTCGTCGGGCTGTCTCCTTGCCGTGCGTCGGTTTTCTTGCATGGTGCACACGGCGGATCCTGTGCATGTTTTGACGCTGATTGATGCGGTTCTCGTTCTCGCGTACGGTAGACTCACTCCTACCAAAACGACGTGTCAGTAGTATGTTGCCGTGATAACTCCAACACCAATTCCACTGCATCTCGTTCCTTTTCTTGGTCCAATGCTTCCTTCTGAGACATTTCCAAAGCGCGCAATAGTTCGTCGTCAAGATCTCCTTGACTACTTTGCTGCTGCGCTTGTTGTTGGTGCTCTTGTTCCGATAGCCTCAAGATGCGCATCAATTCTTCGTCTTCCTCACTGGCTTGCTGTTGTTGTCTCTGTTGCTGTTCTCGCTCGTGCTCTTCTTGCGACAGCCTCAAAATTCGTTCCAATTGTTCTTCTTCCGTCAGTGGGGGCTCTCCTTCTTCGTCATCCTCGTATTCTTCCGAAAGCCGATGGGCTTCTTTGAATTGTTCCATCGGATCGTCTTGCTGCCGAGTTGTTGTGGTGTCTCGTAAAAGATCGGCATTGCTGAGATCTTGCTCCGAGCTCATGTCGGCTGCCGATGCTCCTCCATCAAATGCAAAGGACGCTCCAAACGATGACTCGTGATTATTTCTGGAATTTTCATTGCGGGACATTTGCAACACCATTTGCAACATTTCTTCTTCGTCGGGATCGGTTTGTTGCGTTTCTCGTCGCGAGACTTCCAGTGCCAATTCAATGCCACCCAGACTGGCTTCGTCGTCGCCCTCATCATCCTCGTTATTGTTGTTGTTGGTGGTGGTGTAATCCTCATCTCCAGCTCGTTCTCGCGTACTGAGCTTCATGGCAATTTCCAAATCTTTGCGTTCCAATTCTTCGACGTGTCGCTTGTATAAGACGGCCCAATCCTCTTGTGTCGGCTGATATAATGGTTCGTGCAATTTTTGTTGATGTTCTTGCATTTGCTGTTGTTGGAGTTGGACCAGTGCAGCTGCCGCATTGTGATTGCGTCGACTGCCACGAACGCTGCCACTGACACTGTCGTTCGTCAAAGATGGCCGATGGGCATGAGTGCTGCGCCGATGAGATTCCTCGTCGTAATTCTGCGTGTGCCTGGAATTAGTAGCAGATTCATGCGTGATGTTTGGTAGCGAATTTTGGAGATGACGACTGCTGTTGTTCACGTTCAAGTTCATGGTGCTGCCGTGCATACTGGCAACCAAGCTGTTGCGATTGGCGACGGAACTTTCTCGTCGTCCTCGAAGTCCTGGTCGACTGCTGGTAGTGGGAATGGCAGGCCCTCCTACTCGAGGAGAATGCGCAGATGCTCGGTGTGTACTCGCACTGTTGTTGGTGGCCGGAACAGCAGGAATGGAATTCTGCACGGGTGCTCGAGGGCTAGCCGGTACGGGTGCTCGAGGGGGGCTAGTAGTGTGTACCACGGGCGGCCGAGGCGGGCTAGTTTGAACGGGTGGTGGTCGACTGGCACCCGCCGGTGGCAATCGACTGAGAAGAGACTGCGGGACCGCTGCCGCTGCGACCGATCGAGCGCTGAACGTGCGACTGGCTCTGTGGAATTGCTCGTCTGGTTCTTCTTCCTCTTCGTAATCATCTTGTTGCTCGTAAATTTCTTCTTCTTCTAGTACTTGATCATGGTCGTCTTCTTCTTCGTATTCATCATCCTCGTCGGCCAACAATCCACGAGGCAATCCACATCCTCGTTGCATCATTTCCGAGGACAATCGTTTGCGTTCTTGCTCTCGTTGTTGTGGTTGTGGTAAATTGTTATTGCGCGGACTTACAGAACTGCGGGGACTAATACTGTGTTGTGGATTGCTGGGCATATTCCTTTGATTGGTCATCATGGTACGATTGCTGCGACCAATACTGCGCGGACTAACACTGGGCTGATCGATGGTTTGTTGTTGTTGTTGTTGTTGTGGAATAGCACTACGCGTACTGCGCTGATCGGACGCCATTCCAATAATATTGCTGCGCGTACTCTTGCCATACGGCGCCGCCATTCGGACACTGGTGGCACCCGGCAGCGGCGAGACGAGGCCCTTGGTCGAGACCATGGGAACTTGATTGGGTTCGACGACTCGTGTGGTACTGATGCGCTTGCCGCCCAATCCTCGCGTCACTTTGGTTCCACGAGCCGTACTGGTCCGCTTCATGGCCAATTTTTCCAACGCTGCCGCCGATGCCGATGGCAAGGCCGCATGGGCACCCACTTGGGATGGTCGAGGACTGTTGTTGGAATGATCCGAGTTGTTGTTCATGGTTTCTTGCTGTTGTGGTTGCTGCAAGCGGGATCGTCGCGACAAGCCTCGTCTGCCGAGAGGAGGGGAACTGTCTTGTCCTCGGGGAGGAGGAATTCCCGATGTTGCCAAGAGACCACGACGATGTCCGGCCGATCGTCGAGGAGATTGGGAACCACTGTCGTGTGTCTTGTGACTGTACATGGATCGATCGTCGCGTTGTTGTTGTTGTTGTTGTCGTTGAATTTCATGACTACTACCGGCACTGGCCATACTCGCGGCACTGTGATTGGACATGCCACTCAATGCGCCACCATCGGATGTCATGTGACTACCGGAATGATTGGAAGACTCGCTCGACAGGGTGCGTCGAATTCTCGGGCATCCAGCTGATTGACCTTCTTGAGAATCGTTCGATCTGCTTCTTTGAATCCCACCGACGGCAGCATTCCGACGCAGTCCTCGCAATTTCGAACGTAGCTGCAGATGTTCGTCGCGAGAGACGGCCGAATCACTACTCATTTGTCGGGTTGGAGTGCCGCTTTTTCGCAAATCGGCACTGTCGTTGAGAGATGCATTGTCGTGCGCCATGGTTATTATTTAGTAATGTTGATTTTTGTTTGATGTGCTGTTGTTGGATGGTTACCCGCCAGGTAGGTAGGACGGTACTGGTTGCTATGAGACTGTAAATTTTTTCTCACAACAACAAACTGGTAGCCAGCAATAAACTGGGACTGCTGCAGCTCGATGCGATGATTGTTTCGCTTTTTTCAAGGCGGTCTCCAAGCGACAGACAGATGGCTGGTACCGGTACGGGAGCTTGCTGTCGATGGTATGACGACAGATAGATCTATCTATCTATCCCAGACTCGTGTTGCAAGGTGATACTCTGAATGAATAGTCCTCAGGTTGTGTTATTTCGTCGCGTCGTTGGCTGATGAAGCCTTCTATTCCTTCTCTATTGTTGTTGCTGCTGTGCTTTGGCTTCCCTGTTCCGAGGGGCTTTATTAGCAAGACCGACTTCTCGATGGTCTTCCATGGTTTGAGTCAGACAACGTTAGATTTAACATCCACACTTGAGGTTTGTAAGCTTGAGGTTCGGGAAGCGTAAATCGCTAAGTAAGCCAGTCATTTACTCAGGAGTAGGAGTACAGTTATTTATCAAGAAGGTCTTTGGTCCCTTCCTCTAACAAACCAGTGAGGCGTTCTGTGCTGGAGAGGCTTTGTTCACAAGACTTGGCAAGGCAGAAGGCGAGAGGGCGGACGAAAATAGCCCCAAACTGGTACTCAGAGCAAAGTTCACGTATTCTAGAAGAAGACGCGCAACAAGACACCGCAAGACTGCAAGAACTAGAAGTGCGACGAGCGGGCTTATTTATGGCCCAACATACATGTACAGGATGCAAAAAATCTTTGACAATCTAAAAAGCCCCTTTCACAATCACAATCAAGCTTGAGATCGACTGAATGATGCATGATGGAAGCTGATGATGGATGATCGCTCGAGGATCCAAAGATACATTCATAGTCTACCGTACCGGTACGTACCTCGAGCATCGAGAAGATACATACCGGTACCGGTATATATATCCGGCTGGTAATAATGTCGAGTCGATGGTATTAGAATGCATGTAGCTACAGTATCAGAATGCTGGAGCAAGAAGGCAGCAACGCTTTCGGATGGACCCAGTGCGCCGCCAACTTTGTCCAAGTCAACGCTCTTTATTATGGGGTGCAATACATGTATTAGTACCATAGGGCCTACCAAACCCAAGCCTCATTTCTTCCGATAGTTCTTCCAAGATGCAGGAAAGAGCATGAAGGATACCGGAAAAGGGATGTTCGCGGAAGAGATACTGGATCCTTTCATGTCTCCAGCTGTGCATAGGAAAGGTAGCTCCTTTGGCAGAGATCCAAGTGGATCGGTGGGGCCTTGTAGTATTCCCTTCCGTGGGAATCAATCGCTGCAACTCGAGACAGGCAACACCTAAAACGCTTCAGTTTATTTTATTACCATGCATTGAATAGGATGCAGCAGGATCCAAGCGCACACGTGAGGAACTGAAAGCCACCAGGCACAAACCGAGGACGACGGTGCTCTGCGGGACAACCGACTTCAAGAGCCACCAGGTCAACGGACGGCACAAGCCACCTTTTTGCTTGCCCCTGCACTAACCACATACGTGGGGCAAGTGTGGTGGCGCATAGCTGCAATTCATTGTGATTCCAAGTTGTATCCTAGATAGAGTCACTTATCGCTCGGGGTGATGGTTGAATCGATGATGAACCAAGAAGTTTCGGGGCTTGAGTGTATTCGAGAATGGCGCCGGAAGGAAAGCACCTGGCGTGCAAACAAGGCGAATGGTGTGACTAGTCAACTCCCGCAAAGACGGGCGGAAGAGGCCAACGCGAGGATTCAGGGACTGGCAGGTTTGCTGGCTGTTGTCGCTTCCTCTTCTTGTGTTGTCGGGGCCTCGTGTGTTGGGGCGAGGACAGCACCAACACAAACTTCCAAAACACACCCCCAAGCAACGCCCACGATCGCTTCCATCACACATCATGCGGAGGTCCACTACACCGTCTTCCTAATACACTAATACACACGCAAAGGAGGGGCAGCTTGTAATAATTGATGAGAATTATATAGCTTAAGACTGCCATAAGCAAGACACAAGGGCCTCTGCTCTACTAGCTACCGGTACCGGTACGGTAGTAGTAAAGACCAAGAACCGTGCTGGTGCTAGACCGGCTCATCTCATCGTCATCATCGTCAGCCTGTCCCTGTTCCTCCTCGATGGCAAAGTCGAGTCCATCCCTGCCATAGGCATATGGCGTGTAGGCTGCTTGTGTTCCTTTCATCTGCTTCTGGAGTCGCCGGAGGATGTTGTCTCGGAGGCGCTCGGGTCGGTGACCGCAGGCTTTTTGGCAAGGTGGATTCGTGCCACGTGCGGATGACTTCTTGGGGTCGACGTCTTTGGTTGCAACTTCCATCGTCGATACACTTAGGAAGAAACAAGGTTCTTTAACAATACGTCTTTGAAGTCTTTGGGCACTCTTTTTTTGAGCTCGATTGTAATCTTCATGACAGGTAGCAGAGCGCAAAAATCAAACGGCACGAACGGTGCTGTTTCTTTCTTCGGACCGCTTCAGATCGTGAGGGTCGAATACTTCGAGTAGACCTGAAACGGACCGCACCAATTTGGACGGGCATCAAATCACAGAATCTCTCAGGGCTCGTTGAACACATGGCTGCTCCATTCAACAAACCACAACTTTTTTGGAGTGACTTTCAAAGTTGTTTTTGTACTCCCACAGCCGCCTTTGCCAGTGGCGTGTTGGTTTGCTAACTCATGGACTCGTGGATGTGTGTTTCCAGTTGCTTCAAAGCGTACAAGTCTATCTAAATTTGTAAATTTGTTCCTGCCACACATAGTCGCTTCCTGCCACACTTAAAGCAGCTTCCATATTTAATTAATCTTTCATTCTTGTATTTTCCGCTTTCCGCTTTCTAAAGGCTTAGCCTCTCCCTTTGAGCCGAACCATTGATTTTTGTTTCCTCAAACCGGTCTGGCGGGCGTGCATGGAAACGCTAAGGAGTTGAAGACACCGCCAAAGAAGAACGAAAGCTAACGAAAAAAGGCATTGAGCACACCTAACTACAGCTAGTAGACGTCTTTCCAAGGATAGTTGAATCTCCGATTCCGTAGTCACCCTCTAGCTAGCTAGTCGCTAACCCTGAGCTAGTTCAGGCACCTTCTCCATTTCCTCCATGGTCGTGGATTCCAATTGTACCATTCAATGCAAAACCACTGTGCTCATCCTAGTACGATTGCCAGCAACAGGAAAGTTTGGACTTTGGGAGTCCATCCGAGCGTAGCTACAGTTTCGCTTGGTGTTCATTTGCTACATTACAATAATAAATTATTTTTCCTTGGTTGATAAAGAAACCATTCAGAGAATTGCTGTATGCCCATGATTTCTACAGGGTGACAAACGTTCCACCAGAACCAATCATATCGCCTCCGAGCACTTGCTTGATCAAGGCATGTGGAACGCGTCCATCAGTAATAAAGGCACCGCCGACTCCAAGTTGGACTGCGCTGGTGGCATAGGAGACCTAAAGAATCATAGATAAACATAATCAAAGTATTGGGTCAGAAAACGCAGTCCTAACGGAGCAAAACTCTCCACCCAATCGCCCCCACTTTTTTCAATCTTTGATAAGCAATCCCTTACCTTGGGGATCATTCCTCCCGTAATCGTCTCATCAGCAATCAGGCCCTTAATGTCGTCAACACTCAAAGTGGGGAAGAGTTCCATATCCTTGTTCAGCACTCCAGCAATGTCTGTCAAAAACAAGACACGGGAAGCACCCAATTCTCCAGCAATGCGTCCAGCAGCCACATCCGCATTGACATTGTAGGCAATATCCTTTTCTTCTCCAATGCCAGTTCCAATAGGACTGACGACAGGACAAATGCCAGCATCCAACAATTGTTCCAACAATTTGGTATTGACAGTCTCCACTTGGCCCACAAAGCCCAAATCAAAGCCATCCTCATTGATTTGCTTGGTACATTTCAATAGACTGTCATCCCGACCACTAATACCAATGGCACGTCCTCCAGCACTGCAAATGGTGGAAGAAATTTCCTTATTGACCGATCCGCAAAGGACCATTTCTGCCACATCCACCACTTCCGTGGACGAAACACGGAATCCTCCTTCAAAGCGCGTTTCCACGCCGACCGTCTCCAACATTTTGCTAATTTGAGGTCCTCCACCATGAACCACCACAACTTTAATTCCAATTTTCTGCAAGGCCGCAACATCTTGGCAAAATCCAGCCTTGAGTTCGGGAGACGTCATGGCATTGCCACCATACTTGACAACCACAATTTGGCCTTGAAGATCTCCGGCAACTGCCGAAACTTGCAGAGCGGCATCGGCAAAAGAGTCACCACTGCCTTCTTCGGCGGCAACCTTTGTCAAAGGTCGAGAGACTCTGGGTGACGACACAAATCCGTGTGTGGCTTGGAGCGACAGCAAAACAAGGGCGATGGCGAAAGATTTCATCATGGTTGCTTGGTTTCTAAAATAAATTTGAAAGAGAGTATGTTGTGCTTTGTTTGGAAGACATCAAAAGAAATTTATAGATCTTTGCATTTTCTCATTGGATGTCTGGAGGAACAGTTGGTTGGAGTGTCACTCGCAATTGCGCCATGACTTGGCACTGTTACGGATGCGGATGCGGCAAAGAAGATGGGTTCGCAAGATCTTCTCTTGTGTTTGCAATTTTAGTGGAGGCAAATCTTCCGGAAAGCCAACACAACACGTCATCGCTTCAATAGGTGACTTTCAACCGTGCATTGAATATCTTTTGAAGCGTGACGACGTGACACATCGATTCGATTCACATTCGATTCGAATCGTCAATTCACATTCGATTCGATTGATTCATTCGATTCGATTCGATTCACATCCTCCAAAAAGGACCGCCATGGTCCTCACACCTCTTTCGATCCTCGAATCCCGAAATCCTCCAAGGCACAACTCAAGAGCTACTCAAGTACAGTATCACCGGTCCCTTCTCCTACCCCGCTAACTTCTCTACGATGTAGCTACAGTAGCTAGAGAGGTGGTGGTACCGGTTGCGTTTGGAGCCACCGGCGATGAAGAAGATGATATCTTTTGCAAGCAGTTTTTGTTTAGGATGAGTCGGTTGCATTAAGGACGTTGAATCGCCACAAGTCACAAAAGTCAGTTACTACCGGTACCGTACTATGAATGAAGCTGACGAGCTTTGGCCTCATTTTCTTCAGAAAATTGAGGTATCCTTGCATCCAGAAAACGTTGCTTTGCACTTCCTCTGGCGCCCCACACCAATAGGCAGCAACAAGCCAAGTTTTACCGCCGCATCCCTTGAATCGGAAACTGTCATTCAGAGGACAACTCCCCACTCCCCATCGTTCCCTGCTCAAGAGGAGCACCGGCAGTAGAAATCAACATGCCTCCTAGATGCCTCTTGACATTCCTTGCCTTGGTGGCAATGGCTCAAGGACAGGGCGATCTCTTGACGGAGCCAACTGTAATGGAATCGAGTGGCGGATCTTTGGATATTACATTGAACATGAATTATGCTGATGTCGCGGGGCCTCACTACACGTTTACCAATGCTCGGTTGTTCGAGGGAACCTATCCCGGGCCTACCATCAAGATCAGCCCAGGAGACAACGTTCGAATCCTCTTCAAAAACAACCTATCTCAGCAATCAGGCGCCGTGCTGTCGGGGACCAATGTGTACCACAAACCAGATACGGCGAACATTCATTTTCACGGAGGTCATGTCAGTGGTTAGTAAAGGAATGCTATGTTCCGCTGAATCCTGATTATCTGCCTGGATTCTCTCACGATCTCTCGTTCGTCTCGTCTTGTTTTGTCTGGAAAGGAGAGTTACCATCAGATGACGTGAGAGAAGGGGTGTCCCCTGGGAGCGAATATCAATACGAAACATTGTTTCCTTCCGACCATATGGGAGGTACCCATTGGATCCATCCACATTTTCACGGGTCCAGGTACGTGCCACGAGGAAACTGACAATCGCATTTCTCCGTGTGTCCTTTTGCCTGCAACTTCACTTCCAATGCCTCGCTTCTTCTCCGTCCATTACAGTGCCCTACAGGTGGGGGCGGGCGCTTGCATGGCGCTAATTGTGAAAGACGCTGACGGATTTTTGCCCAGTGAAGTTCTGAAGTAAGAGATGACATTGCTGATGCTGTGTACTTGAAAGAAAGATTATGATGCATAACCAACCTTTTCTCTGTTCCTCCTCGCAGTGCACCCGAAAAAATCCTATTTGTCCACAACGTTGTGAAGAATGATCTTGAGACAGTCATATCTGAGATTCAAGATACAACGTTTTCCATGTCCTTCACGGTGGGGAATCCAGAGGATTTCCGGACGGTAAACGGGCAATATCAACCTGCCATATCTATGCAGCCTAATGAATGGCAAAGGTGGCGCATTATTTGGGCTGATTGGCTAGGGAATCGATTGAACTTTGCAATTGACTCGTCCTGCCAAATGCGACTCCTGGCAAAGGACGGAATATATATCCAAGACTACCCCCGCACTATCACAACAGCCACCATTCCAACTGGAGGGAGGGCTGATATCATGGTTCGATGTGAAAGTGCTGGAAACTATACTGTCACAGGTAGGAAGAGAGCTACTTGGTGATGGGTGTCTTTGATTTGCTACTTCTTGTGCTGAGGCTTGTTCCTTGCCACGCTTGAACAAATCAGATTATTCTGGTCAGACCTTAATGATTGCTTACGTCTCTGGGACTGACCAGGTAGCTACTGATTTGACCTCTTGGACCCCTACATATCCAACCTACTTGACGGACTTGACATCTACTGCGGCATCCACTGGCTGTACCTGTTCAACGTCGATGGCACGTTGCCCTGGAGGAGCAGGCTTCTGTGTTAATGACAATGCTTTTGATTCCAGCGTTTATCTTCACAAAATTGAATTAGGCTCAATTGTAGAACGGACTCTTGGAGGGGTCGACAGACACCCATATCACCATCACGGTAAGTTCTGGCTTTGGGCGAAGTTTGGTAGGAATCCTGCAGCAATAAAATCCTCACTTACTTTTGTTGCCATGACACATTTGATAGTAAATCCTGGTAAGTTGGGCTGTTGCTATTTGCGGCAAATACCGGGCTGGCAACGTAATTACAATTGCTAACCAAACTTTTGACTGCCGATGCTGTGACTCCGGTGACAGTGAGTCCATCCGATACCAGTAGTGTGCCTTGTCAGTGGCAACTACATGTACATACCTTGACAATTGGAGCATCCCATAGCTAACCAAAAGTGCTTTCCTTGTCATTGCTGTAACACGTTACACCTGTACCAGTTCCAGATAATTTCAGGACTTGGCACACTCAGTGATGCAGCTGAACTTGCCTACTTTGTGACTGGAGACTGGCATGATGTTGCGTCCATGTCAATCACTGGAGACCTTGTTGTCCGGTTTAGTGCAGATACTTACACTGGCACACAAATGCTTCACTGTCACATTCTCTCCCATGAAGACAAGGGCACGATGGCTCAAGAGATCATAGTCGATGGAGGCTCTTGTGAATGCGATCTCGAGCCCACACCAGCTCCAAGTTTAGCACCCAGCGCAGCCCCAGACACAAATCCAACGCCAACCGCAGCCCCTGTAGTACTTGCCCCAACCAACGAACCGCCCACAGATCCGTCTTGCTTTTCTTCTCAAACCACTGTGGAAGTCCTTGGCAAAGGCAATTTACGAATGACGAGTCTTTCCCTTGGGGACAAAGTTTACATTGGAAATCATGGTGGCAAAGCGCGCTATGAAGCAGTCTACAGCTTTGGCCACTATCAGCAGTCTGATGCCACGGACTTTTTGAGGATACACACCAATTCAACTGTGCCCACAGATCCCATTGAGCTGACACCTGAACATTTGATCTACATTGATGGATGCAATGATCCCGTCCGCGCTGATGCAGTACAAGTTGGGACGCTTCTATTGCACCAATCGGTGGATAACCCTCCCCAAAGGGTGGCTGTTACACGCATTGATCGACGTAGGAGATATGGATCCTTTCTACCCATGACACAAGGCGGCACAATTGTTGTCAATGGTATTACTGTCTCAGCATATGTTTCAATCCACGAGGATGCACCCAACATAGTGAAGCACAAATTGAATGTCTTGTCAGAACAGAGATTGTTTCACTGGTGGCTGGCCCCATATCGATTTTTTTGTACCTACGTTTCTCCCCAGCTATGCCAAAATGATTACAACAGTGACGGAGTTGTTTATTGGCTTGCCATTGGAAGATTCATTGCGCAACTTGGAGAAGGTTGTTGGCAAGGATTCCGAGTCCTTGGTCTTTGCATCTTCATCCCGATGATGGCTTTGTGGGTATTGGTGGACTCTATGGTCAACTTTCTACATGTGAATTTGGTTTGGGCTCTCTGGCTGGGGTCCTGCCTGCTTGTCATTCGCTACTTGCTACGAAAGCGTTCTTCCAAGGAGAAAATGGAGTAGCACAAGGAGACTACATGTAGATGAACGTCGTGTGAAAGTAGCCATTCCTGCTGGTTGGGATGCTGAGTTCTTAGTTAGACAAAGTGAGTCGAGTCTAAACTAGCTTTAACTTGGTGTGTAGATACCCAGGGAATGGTTGTTGGCTGCTGCTAGCAAGTGCCCAGAGAACGTGTGCGGATGCTGTTTGTGAAGGGTGGATATGAAGCATCGGATAGTGTTCTTTGTTGGCGGCCAAATCATCCCATGGACAGCCCATGCATGGTGAACCACTTGGGAAGGACCCTCACACAACTCTAGAACCCCAAGGAAAGCCTAAAGCCCTGACCTACGCATGACCCAATTCAGCAACAGCCCGGCAAGTCCACTCATCTCAAGGACCGACTAGCCATTGCAAACGACGTGCATCGTGATGTGGCCAGTCCTGAACTCCCACCCCGTATGGTCCTCAATTTATCTCCCCTAATCCCCGGGACCTAGTACCGGTACAATAGCCTGAATTTGGACTCTCCTTTGCCAAGTGGCCCTCCCTCTACCCAAAAACTCTACTAGATAAGCTTTTGGCGGTACATACATGTCTCCCCCCCATCTTTAGGTTCCTGCATACGGTACGTTACAATACGGTAGGGTTGGGGCTTTACTGGACTTCTTCATCCTCGCTGTCTCGCATACAAACCACAATGGCAACAAAGCATTGGCTGCACTTGAGCGCTTGAGATTGATTGTTTCCTTGGATCTCACCATGGCGGACTCGTCCTCTGTAATGACTGGCGATCTTGAATCCCTGCTCAAGATGTTGGAGAGCCCTGGAGGACTCGCCATCATGGCTGCCTGGATGTTGCTGGTCTTTGTGCTGTTTCCACCCGGCGCAAAGGATCAACCCGAGGACGATCCGTCCTTGAAGGATGCGTACCTAACCTTTTCTACGTATGAACCGAAGGCCACTTGGTCGTCTGACTGGAAAGTGCTGAAAGCCATGTGGTTTTCCAAGATTACTGGTTCTGATCTGCAAGAAAGGTACGCTCAATATCTGACAATGGTGTTGGGATCAATTGCCCAATGTTGTAGTGGATGGAAATGGGTGACAACTAACTAACCTGATGAGTTCTGCTTCATATTTCTGTGCTTTGTAGACTCAATTCATTCTACGAAACACAAGCAGATTTGTATGATAGCTACCGGTTTCGAATGCTCCATGGTCGACCCTTGATGCTCAAAGGCGTGACACGGCACTTGAAACCCAGTGCTGCCATCAAAAAGAAGGGACTGGTCTGGGTCGATTTGGCCTGTGGAACTGGCTACAATGTAGAGAACTTTCGGACTTGTCTAAAGAAATTCCAAAAGATTTACTTGTTGGATCTGTGTGTTCCACTCTGTAAGGTAGCCCAACGAGAACGAGCCGACAAGTACAATGATCCTGGCAAGGAAAACAAGAAGATCACCGTCATTCACGGAGATGCCACCGATTTTGAATGTGCGGAACTACCACCGGCAGGTACGGTAGATTTGGTGACCATTTCCTATTCTCTCGTCATGATTCCGGACTGGCACAAGGCACTTGCCAATGCCAAACGATTGCTGAAACCGGGTGTGGGTATGATTGCTGTGAGTGATTTCACGGTGGCACCGGATCAAATGGGGATGATGAAGAGCTTTTGGACCAAGACATTTGAACAGGATCATGTATTTTTGGACGAGGCACATCTGAAGGCCTTGTACACCAATTTTGACGTGGTGGAAGCGGCAGGTGCCTACGGTCCCCTGCCCTACACACCCTCATTTTTGCAACCAGCCTACTACCACTTTGTTGGCACAAATAAGAAGAAGGAAAAGGAGTAGGCCATTATTTTGTAGGACAATAGAATTTGTCTTGTGAAACTGTTAGCTAGCTAGTAGACTCGTCTAGGTCATGTATGTATGTACCGGTAGCAGCACCGAATCGTGCATGCTTTCCAAAACAAAAAGGTCGTGTGCGTCGTATTAAGTTGTTGTTTGCAATGCAGATGTATGTAGGTTGTATTCATTCCATGGATTCATTCATTCGATCGATCGTAGACACAGGGATGGGATAAGGCATACTAGTATGCAAGCAAGTGATATCCCCCCAGAAAGTAGCAAAAGAAGGTTACTACCAAACGGGAAGGGTAGCGAGGAAGATCTCCATGTCGTTCCACAACGACGATCGATCTTCTTCTTCTTCTCCCTCTGATTCTTCTTGCTGTTCCAGTTGCGGCACTTGCCGCATTGTGTTGCTTTCTCGACGGTCGGACTCCTCTAGAGCATCAATGTTCGGCGTGAAAAGGACAATGGGAAGGCTCTTTTGGCATGTTGGACTACTGCTAGTAGAACCCTTTTGATTGGGAGTCAGAGAGCGCGTTAGAAGCTATATCTATTGCAAGGAATACTACTGGTACAGGTTTTGAGGGCGAGCTTACCACTGGCAACGCCACGATCTTTCGTCGAGCAGGACGTTCTTTTGTTTTTCGAGGCATGATGTGTTTCCAAAAGAACCTTGGAGGGGTGGTGTTTTTGGCGCAGCTGTCATTGTCGGGTGTGGCGATTTGCATGATACTATCTTGGGAGCGTACAGCTACAATCGACATGGTCTCGAGTTAAGAAAGTACTGAAGGTCGAAATAGAGGAGCTTTCGTTGTCAAAGAGTTTTGTGAGAAGGCAACGGTCGCCCAGGGAGGTCACAAGAGGGCCATGACGTCATAAAAGGATCGCACCCGAACTAAGTGAGTCACGTGCCAGCCAAAAGTTCCAACCTTTCGGGGGGCGTTCTTTTACGAGCAAGAACACACAATCAAGTCTTGTTGACAGACCATCTCTATTATATGGCTGTACTGTACGGTTCAGACCGTCTCACCACCCGCATCATTCATCATCGTAACCCAGTCTCAACAAGAGTTCTTTGGTGTTGTTGGTGGTGTAGGGAACCATTCGAAGAGAGTCGAGTCCAAGCAAGAGTCCACGCAGTTCTACGAGCTAGCTAGCCAACGGTGCAAGAGGGGACCCGAGCGACCATGATGGAACGGTGACTTGATCTCACTGATACACTCATTACGTCCAACATTAAAAAGAAAGAACAAGATGACTTCTACCCTGTCCATCCCACAAGACAAGGCTCTGTCGATCATTCCCTGCTTTACATCCCTGCTCAGTTGTCTGGGTTCGGCGCAGATCATCTACAAAGTCAGTACGGCCCGCAAGACAACTCCGTATCGTCGCATCTTGTGGGGCTTGTCCAGTGCCGATTTTCTCTGCAGTCTCTTGTATCCATGGCAAGCCTTTCTGGTGCCAGCGGACACATCGCCTCGCATTTGGGCCATTGGCAACGATGCCACGTGCACACTACTCGGATTTGGACAACAAATCTTTTTTGCCAGTATTGGGTACAATTCCTGTTTGAGCATTTACTTTTTGCTCACGGTCAAAATGGGAATGTCCAATGCCATGGTGGCCAAACGCTACGAACCCCTCATGCATATTGTGTGCGTAGGATATCCCCTCGTCACGGCCATTGTGGGGGCTGCCATGGGTATGTTTCACGAAGTAGAACTCTCCCATGGTTGTTGGGTACAAGAATATCCCAAGGGATGTGATGATGAAGAACAGAATAGTACTTGCATTCACGGCACTATTGCCCTCTTTTTTGGAGGAATTCCCGCCATTGTGGCATTCTTCATCATTCTATTCAACAATTTACTCGTCTACGGACACGTCAAGTACACGATTCAGAAAAGTCGACGCCGGTTTGCATCCAGTTTGGGAGGATCCTCCAGCGCGATGAGTCGACCTCTTCGATCCTCTCTTCTATCCATGGGAGCCTCCATGATTCGTCGTACGCAGTCACGAGAACAACAAGAGCCACCCACGAGAGATCCCCAAGTCCAACGCGTGCATGCCGTCTTTACACAAGCGTTCATGTATGTCATGGCATTTTTGATTGTGTATTCACCGTCCTTTATTTTGAGAATCCTGTCCGCCCACGGATATGGAGCGGAAGAGGAAGGAAAGTTGTTTCCACTCTTGCTCCTGCAAGCCATCTTTTTACCATCTCAAGGATTCTTCAATCTGTTGGTAGGTGCTTTAAAAATGTCACATACATCCCGTGGCTTTCTTTTCCCTCAAAATTTTGTTTCTCACTCACTTCCACATACTTGCCCTTTTTATAGGTCTACATTCGTCCGACGTACAAGCGCACACGTCGCGAAAACGCAGACGAATCTCGTTGGTGGGCCTTTCGAAGGGCCCTCTACGGGGAAAAGGTCAAACCGTCCAAACACGGTTCTTCAGACTTTCAGCATCGACGTCGTGCCGCATCGAGTTCGTCGGATTTTGGAATGATGGTCGTACGTCCCGAAGCAAGGCGCATGGACGAAAGCAGTCGACAACGGTCCCTCTTGCGCAAATATGGGTTGGACAACAATCAGTATCCCGTGTATTTGGATGAAAGCAGCAAGAACAATGATATTAGCAACAACAATCCGGCCAACAACCAGAACTTGGACTTGATTCAAGAGGACAGCAGTTCGACCATGACGTTTGCCACCGGGTCCGTTATCGATGTGAGAAACAGTTATCCAGTCACTACTTCTTCTACTAGAGCATCCATGCCAGACGCCATGACAACCACGGCCAGCACTATTGCGGAAGAGGGAGAAGACGGGGAAGAGGGAGAAGACGAGGATGATGAGATGGGGCAAGATCAGCCGGCAAGTCTAGATGACGATGATTATGGCAATGTCATCAAGGATGCCAATCACCCAGACGACAACATCACCAAGGAAAGACTAGAGGATGAACAACAACAGCAACAAGAATCCAGCAATGCACCATGACGACAATCAAAGGCCAACTGGCCAGTCAGCCACGACAACTGTGCCCCACACCAACACAAGAGGGAGACGATATTTCATGGTTGGGCAATATCATGGCGGTGCTGGGACAATTCCCTCTCTCTTCGTTCCGTGAAGGCCCTGACAGCACTACCGGTACTCCTTTGACACAACGTTTGTCGACGTTACACGAGCTCGCACTCGGGTGGCCTACCATTGACGAGGATCCTTGCCCTCGTAAAACACAGCAAGCAGCAGAATTTTGCTTTTGATCTTGAAAGTCTTTCCAGCCCACCCTGGGTGACTTTGGGAGAATTAATTTGTTACATGGTTGCGGGCCCGTGTCGAAAATGACCCCGACCATTATGGTGTGCTAGACCACCCTCCTGCAGAGGGTGGTTTGAATAAGGATTACGATCAAAAAGGCGACTTGATTGAAATCAATGTGGATGCACAGAATCGGAGCTTCACGAAAGCCGCGTAGGTGGGCCAATGCACCCCACGATGACTTTTTCCCGTCTCGACCATTGGATTTGTGATGTACGCTGTTGACCCCAAGGAGAAAGGAACAATGCTTCATGTTACAAGCTCAACCTATTCTTCTTCCTTGTCGTTGATGGCTGCACTTCGGGGTTGTCCGTAAAGGGTACAAATGCAGGGGGCTCCTTCCTCCTGCATGTACCGGTATGTACCTTTGGTTGCAATAACACACGACTATTTACAATAGCTAGTATCTACATATTCAGGTGGAGGTGTCATGATGGTACGGGTACAATCTGATTCTTAAATACTTTCTTCGTGAGTCACCTGAAGGATTCCATTGTGACATCTCCTCGTGTCGTCGCGAGGAGGGAGGATTTCTTGGCCTGGCGGAACTCTTCAGATGTGGCCGCCACATCGGTTTCGATTTGTGACAAACTCATGCTCAGCTTTGCGACTGACATCATTACCACTTCAGAAATGTCGTCCCCGTCTTCGCCGTCGTGCGATGCCGTGGCTCTATCACAGCCGCCTTTGGCTCGCTGCAGCCACGATTCGTAGAGTGCCAGCCGCCGATTCAAGTGAACATTAGAAATATCGTCCTCAGTGGTCGACAACAGTACTTGCACTGCCTTGACCTGAGCCTCAGGCAAGATGAATTCGTCCTCCATGAGCATGCGAATGGCAATTTTGGAAGCTGTAGCCAAATCGCCCTTCAACACCTTGTACCTCATCAGCTCTGTTTCTACCTGCTGCATACGCCCAGCCGGACTCAGCTCGTGAAAGAGCCCTGATGTGTGCAGTTTCAACTTGATCTCCTTCTTCAACGACTGGAACAATTCCTCTAGTAGCTCCTCCAAGTCCCAGTCATCGGGAAAACCCATCTCCAACAGTAGGAGGTGCCCCCGGGCTCTGTTCAATGCAACATTGTAGAGCTTCTCAACAGTGTTCACCTTCCAGCCAACCTCTGTACCCTGATCAATGATTTCCACCTGGGGGAAGGTAGACAAGATGAACAAGGAGGGTTAGCAGGGCTGTGGGCAGAGAGCAACGGCCTCGATAGAGCTCGATGCAACTTACATCCATATCTCGTGCAATTTGCAAGTCTCTCATTCCCAAGCCCTCCAGCTCTTTTGGGTTCTCATGGTCATCTTTCACGGTGAGCAGGAACATAGCACGGTTGAAATACCGGTTGGCCAAGTGCTGCATAAAGTCCAGACAGCTTGGGGACCACCCCTCTGCTTCGTAGAATTCGTCGTATGCCTTTTCGCCCAGTTGGATTGATTCGTGAAAGTATGACATTCCCTTCAGCACGATTTCAGTGTGTGTCAAACCACAGTAGAGTCCAGCACCAGTCCCCTTCGCTGTCCTGTACATAGCCAACATGGTATTCCCGAGATTGTTGTAAGCCACACCCATAGCCTTCTTGTTCCCCAAGCGCTTGAAGAGTCTTGCCGCATCCGTCAAGACGGCATAAGCCTTATCGATATCTCCTGCGAAATAGGCAGAATTGGCGCACTTGACAATCTTATGGAGGGTTCTCATGGCGCTTGCTACACTTTTGACCTCCAGCGAACCTGCAGCCACATCAAACTCTACCAACAGTTCATCATCGTTGACGCTGAAAAATAAAGACGAAACGGAGATACCATTGAGGTTCTGAATGATCGAGTTCGTTGTGTGAACATACATGAATACGCAAAAACTTACTCATTGATTTGCCGGATCAATCCCAGAAGGTACAGCATCGGCTGAGCAATGGAAATGGCCACCCAATATGAAATGTAGATCACTGCGAAAGTCGCCAAGAAAATCGTGATACAAAGAACCAAGATACCAATATCAATTGTCAAGTTGATGTCGTCCTCAACTTGGTCAAATGCGGAGACCAAGGCTGTCTCCGTTTCGGTAAGCCCCAAGTAGTATATAGTGTAATGTGACTCCGACACGCCACGACTAAAGTCAGAGCTGTTGACGGGGGAGTAGCTCTTCAGCTTGACTGGGGCGTATGCGATAAACATTGTTTCCTCTGCACCATCGTCCATTCGAACCGAGTATGAGCCGGTGCCAGTCTTGCCAGATTCCATCGCATTCAATACTGCTCTGAATTCCTCTCGATGACGTTCACATTCGGGTTCGGAACAGCCCAGGTCATTCTTGAGAACAAGATCTTCAATATCATCTAGCGTGCCATCCTGTGCCTCTACGCCAGGGCCAACCAAGGTGTTGGCCCCGTCGAGATCTTCCCGGACTGCAATCAGCATGGGATAGCCGCCATCACCCAAAATTGTACTTTTCGGGTCAAGGATATCGAAAATGGGATCTGACCTGTAGTCGACAAACGATTGGCCAACGTGTTCTCCTGTTCGTGGATCAATCAGAGGTTTTGTGCAAGTTTGACCAACGAAGTTGCCGACTTCGAATGTGTATGGAGCAGCGACAAAGAGCTCGGCTTCTTTGCTTTCGGCAAGTTTTTTGCCGGTATCATACCATTCACGGCATCTTGGGTCAAAGCCGAACTTTCTAGAAGACGAACTCATGTCAGTTCACAAGCCATCATAAGCAAGAACTGTAAGCACAAGATGCCAAAGATACTTACCCAATTGGGCACAAATTGGGGCGCAGATCATGGGCATGGTTATCGTAGGTGGATTGCCAGAATGCAGGCATCGCAGCAAAATTGATGGCACATCCGTGAAATCCGACGACCATGCCATCAGCCTCCATTGCAACAGCGCTCTGTAAAACCGACCTCTGTATGCTGTTTTGGTTGTATAATGTTTGAAAGACCGGAATAGCCGAAAGGACACGCAGTCGATCGTATGTGGTGTCGTAACCTCCTGCTAACGACCCCTTTTCATTTCCAGGGACCGTGGTCACGTCGTCCCACCAAGCAGTCGTTCTTGGTGAATTGGATAGATCGGGAAAGCTCAGAGATGAATTGCGGTCGCCGTTTTCTGCCGTATCAGTCGACTCGCAAACAAAGAAGGGTTCTTGCTGGTATCGGAAGGCGTAGTTTTCAAAAGTATCGAATCCGCCAAGACATGTGCCCGATCTTGGATCTCGTTCGCACTCACAAGGGACTTCCCTCAAATAGGGACATTCGGATCCCTTCCCTACCTTGCATTCCTCAGCCCCAGTCGCCAGCTCCGTGAACGAGTCTCTCCGTTCCAAGCCATCAAATAACAGCCAGCTGGCATAGCGTGAAAGAACGTGTAAGTCACTCGTCGATTTCTCCGTCGTGTGTGCAATCCAGCTAGCCCGTAGCGTGACAGCAGCACTAAGACTGAACTTCTCCATATTCACATACTCCATTTTGCCACTATCAATGACTTCGGTCAATTCACCCGAAACATTGTAGGTGACAATAGCTGACATGGTGATAGTTGTGATGAGCAATGGTGTAACGATGAAAACCACTATCCAAACAAATAGTGGCGACGTCAGATGACCCCTCTTGACAACAAGAGTTGCATTGACATCCGTAAGGTTGCCCTTCTTCTTTTTCTTGCGCGGATTCAAATGCGCTTGCGAGCCCGTCACTATGGGCCCAAAATGGATCAAATGTGCCCCATTCCTTTTCCTGTGGCGGTCGTTTGATCGCTTCTTGCAAGCAGTGGAGCTGGAGTTTGTGGTCGATGTGGTGATGATGCTGCTGCTACTGTTTCCTGTCGGCAGCACCACCTCATCGAAGCCATATGCAAAACTGCCATCTTGTCGGCTTTGGTACAGTTCTGCAAATTCATGTTCAAAACTAAAATGATTGGCCAGCTCTGTGAATCGCTCTTGCACGGCCTTGGCCATTTTGCTGGAACCGGAAAATTTCTGCACCATCTTTTCGTATTGAGTTACCACGTGCGATATTTCTGTTTCCGGCGTACATCGCGTCAGCATGGGATGGTAGTAGTACTGTTGTGCGTTATAGGCAATCCCCCGTTCCGAGTTGCCTGCAAAGTTCTGGACAATGGCTCTGGTGGATTGATTCATACTCTTGAGCGGCATTGTCAATGTTTGTGAGACGACGAAGATCACCACGAGCATGAGCCCCCATCCCACCAGAGCCGCAACGAGTGAAAAGTACACCAGCTTTGCGACTTGATCATCCACGTAGTCTTGCAATCGAACCACGGGTTTAAACACATCTTCCGTGGACACGGACATTATGACTACGAAGTGTGGTCGATAGAGTGGATTGTACTCTTCGGGTACAGGTGGTAGCGGATAGGCCGCCACCAAGTAACCGGAATCATGCCGAATGAGGTTGGCGTAGGTTTCTCGAACCTCCTTTGGATCCCACACTTGGCTGTAGTCAATCATTTCGTAAAAGTCTCGATAGCCATCTTGGTCCACACCGATTTCCAATTGATGAATTGCCGGTGGTCCGTCAAACTGCAGGTTCTTTTGTTTTCCGTACTTGTGATTGCTCTTGCCTTCTTCTTCTTCTTGGGAATTGGACAAGGACAAAAAGTCATTCAGAAACTCCGGGTCCGCTTCTTCGTCGTGAGAAGGACGATGATGCTCAGGTGTTGGATTCCATGCCGACGATGCCGTCACAGTCCCTTGGTCATCAAATCGCGTAATGGTGACATGCGAATTGGGTGTTACTCTGCTCTTGAGGAGCGTGTCTTGGACATACGTGATGGTAACATCGAAGAACGAGCAAGCTACAAATTCCAATGTAAGTGGATCGTAAATGGCCTGGCCAAGCAAAACGATTTGTGCCTGTTCATTCCAAGCATCGGGAAAGGGTCCGACCAAATGGACTGTATCTGGTTCGAGGGCCTGTTGGGAACACCACGGTCGTTCCATTGGATTGTATTCTCGATTGTAGACAATCTGTCCCCTGGCATGACATTTGGCAATCATTTCCGGCGTCCCAATGGGTCGGTCTGGTTGATAGGGATTGGGTGATTTCATCCAATCGCATCCGTCACTGATATAGGACAGTGTACCATTGATGGAGACGCCGGGAAATTGGATGCAGGATCCGGCTCCGTCATTGGCAAAACAAATACCGAGGTCTCGTAGATTGGGTGTGGTTTCGTAAATGGCTTTCAAGAGTGGTGTCAGATCCGATGCTCGCTCGTAAATGTGTTGACTGGTGGCTACCGGATGCACGACGCCCCCCGTGGTCACATTGTTGTTGGCGGGAGTACAATCGCGATACCAGTCGTAATCTCCCATTGATGCCTCCGGATTGCAGCTCCCTGGAAAGTTGTAGGCAGCAGCCGCCGTGGTAAAGTATTTGTAGGCTCGGTAGAGATTGAATCGTCGTTTGTGTTGCACGTGCTCGGTAAAGTTTTCTTCGGTGACGGTATAAGGTTGCAATTCCCAATCCATGAGAGCGGGAGGTCCCTTGACGGGGTAAATGTTGTTACGGGTGTAGACATCTCGAAACGGCGTCAGAGTATCATTTTCGTATCCCGGATGATTGGGATATCCCACAAATCGATCGACCGTGGCGTCGTGGAGGATGTGAACAATGTCATCGGGCGACAGCTGCGAATTGAGCGCTTCGGCGACATAGCGGACCATTTTGCCTTCCATTTCATGGGAGAATTCGTGGAGGGAGTCCTTGGTGAGTTCGTGAACTTTGTTGCCCGACACAATGCTGACGACAATGCAAATGACCATGACAATTCCAATGGTGAGTGATGAGACTACTCCAAAGGAGAGTAGCATTTGAGATTGCAGTGACAAACTGGATCGTAAGCAGGTCGATCGCAGGCACCATCGTGCCATGGATTCTTGTGTGGGTGCTGCTTTGAGAGTACTAGTCGATTTTTTGTTGTTGTCGTCTGGTTTCCGCCGCCGTCTTTTTCTGGGACGATCCTTGCTTTTGCTTTTGCTTTTGTTGGCGTGTTCATCATCATAGTCATCGTCGTCGTGTTGTGTGTCGTCGCTGTGGTCCATGACTTGTGGAGGTTGTTGTTGATCTTCTGGATCCGTGCTGCTGCTATTATTCTGGTTCTGACTACTGCTCTGCTGGTTGTCGCCGATCGCGGCCTTGTCATCCTTTGGTTTGTTGCTACTCGAGCTGTTGTCGGACGATGACTTGTTGCTCTTGCTGCCACTGATGCGACTTGTGAGGAACAAACTCGTGTCGATTGGGAGCTTTCTCAAATCGAGAGAGCGTTTGCCGATGCCACTGCGAAACGTAAAGACGGATCGGTTACTGCTGCTTCCAGTGCTAAGAATTCCCGAGGCAGAATCCGTGGTTGTATTGGCCAAGGAGAATTGCACCGACGAGGCGGTCGATGGAACGTCCAGAAAGCTGCTGCTGTTGTTGTGACTTCCCGTGGATGCGTAGCTAGTCAGGGGAACTTCTACAATCGTCCCAGTCTTTTCTTCGTCTTTGGTGATTATTGCCGTCGTGGCTATAGCGGGCAATCGGGGTGGATCGTCGTGATGAAAACTCCGAGTGGTGGTGGCCTTCTTGGAGGGACCATTCTGTTCGTCCATGGCAATACCACTGTTACTCTTCATGGTCTCCTCCACACTGCTGCAAGAGGACACTTCTTGGCTCCGACTCATCCTGACTTTTTTCTGATGAAAGCCGAGGCTTCAGACTATTCCCTTGGCAAGGTTGGACGAGCAAGGTTGGATCGGCAAGGCTGGATGAGCAAAGTAGCAAGGTAGCAATCAGAGATTGGTCATGCCAGTTGATTGATGAGAGGGCAATGTACAGGTAGGCTTGGACTTATGTTCCTGATTGGTTGTTGAGCGGTGGTCGGTTGCTGGTGCTCGTTGAGACCGCAGGCTGCCAGGTTCGCTGAACGTAACAACGTACTGTAACACACAAGGCATCGCATTGCATGCAGAGCTGCCGGAAACCCTTTCGTAAGCTGTTTGAATGGTGATGCAGGTGCAGCTAGCTGTTTGAGAGACATAAATCTTTAGAGCGACCTCTTCATTGAAGCTTCAATGACTCTTAAGCCATAAGGTGCTTAACGAGTTATGTAAGCATGGTTATTACATTATAACTACATGTAATATAGATTCTCTGAGTACCATTCATGTTTTGTTATATCTTTTTAAGCGAAACTTTCTTGAAGCTTCAAGGTGTCTCCACAAGCCACAAGCCACAAGCCTCGACACTCGACACTTTCAAGGCAAAAAACTTCATACAGCGAATGTTCTCAATTGGTACTGGTGTACTAGTAACGGTTCTCAGCGAGACTTACAGGCCTTAGTAGCGCCTGCCCCCCAGCACACAGTGACCCCAACACTCCACAACTAAGCTTTGGAGATCACGTTGTGCTTCGTGTTGGTCTCCACCAGCTCTTTGGCACCCAGCAGCTAACACAGCGCGGCAGCGACAAGTGTTTGAGGCTCCTTCTGATTTACGATGTGCAGTACAGTACGGTATGTGATCGTTGTGCAATACTCCCACGCAGCATGCAGCACCGGTACGTAAATTGATGATGCAAAAGCGTGATGTTGGTGTGGCTCTGGGGCGCAGCAGACTGCATTGTTCGAACAATGTTGGACGATGGGGGAAAACTCATCTCGGATGAGAGATGAGAGACGTTGAGAGGCAGCGACTTGCGTGAGGTTTGCGTGAATGGTCACATGCAATATGCATCTGGATGGAGGCCATTCAGATGCTAATCAATCGAGATAATATATCCATTTTCTATTCAGTATCCATACCTAGTGGCTGGGTATACGATGATTGAACGTAGCTAGCTAGTGACAACAATGAGATTTACAACCTGTTTCTTCTCGAAGAGCCAGCCGTCGCAGGTGCATTTTGCGTTGATCTCAGCATGCTTTTTCTCCAAGTGAACTGTTGGAGCCAAATCCCGTAGAATTGGCCTCTAGAAAGCTTGAGGGCCCGGTGCAGTGCATGTACATGTAGTAGCTTCGACTTCAGAATCGGGCTCCATTCAGCGTTTTGATAGTAGCTACTCTACTCTACTCTACTCTACTCTACTCTACCGGAACGGTGACGTGTGCTTGCTGTTCTAGTTCAGTCTCATTCCTGATTGAGTCGAATCATCAGCCAGATCACGTCTTTCACCACAAAACAAGACAGTTTCAACCTGCAGTGGATCCACCACGATGACAGGCCTTCACAACCCACAACCAGAGCCACCTTGATCTGTCACCGCTTGGCTGCTTGCTAACCGTGCACCAGCCAAACCTGGCTGAACCACACATACAGTTTTGTACTGGGAGCAACACTGGACCATCACTCCCCTGCCTCCAGCACAACAACCCCAGCCAGATACGCCCATGGTGTCAACTTGCACCTATTCTTGCACCAATTTGGGAGAGATGATGGAGAAAGGAGGGGTTGGGACACCGGGATTTCGAAGTTGGGCGCGGTAGGAGACTGCCAATAGCAATTGAAATTCCTTTGGCCGGAGCCGTCATTGGCTGACTAGTAGTATTCAACCGATACGATGCGATTCACAAAACAGTATATCCTTCAGTAAGTTCTATTAGTGCATGCCATTGGTTTGAAGACAATCTTCCCTTGCTTTTTGTGGCGCGTCTCATCAATGGATCTTCCAACGTCGCATCGTCAGCGTGGTGTCTGAGCGTGGAGGCTCCTTTGGTCACGTGATCGACGTCAGCGGAAGACTTCAACCCGAACAATGGCCGACTTGACTTCGCACTTTGGTGGAGTTGATGTCAGCTCGATCGACGAGTGTGGCGCAGAGAAGAAGAAACAACAGTTGAACGAATAGAATACCACTTATCACCATGGCGGCGGCATTTTACCTCAACGTCGCTGTGCTGGGGTGCGAAGGGAGTGGCAAGTCATCAGTGGTGAACGCCTTGGCTAGCGGCCTTGTCGCTGAAATTGGTCGTCAAGAAGGAAAACGAACGACCGAAAGCATTGATGCCTTTGAGCTTGGGAACTCCGATGAATCCAGCCAGAAGAACAGTAGTAGTGCATCGGATCACGTCGATCCGGATCCTATCAAAGCCATCTACAATCAAGTCAAATTGAAGAATGAGTCTCTACGTAGCAACGACGACGAGAAGAAAGGTGATGAGGACGCGGTGAGCAACCACTACTACATGGTGCCTGCTCGGAAACATCCCATCGCCATGTGGCATGGCTGTCGATTGACTCTGATGGACACACCCAGTATGGACGCACGTGTTCGGTCTTACTGTCGGCAGCAATGGGGGTCGCTGGATGCCACAATTGTCGTTTTAGATGCCACAAAGCCGGTGGAAGACACACAACAAATTGAACTCCTCAAGTTTGTCCAGATGACTCGTGACAAAATGGGAAGGGTTCCCTGCTTCATCCTATGGAACAAAATCAAGGATGCCGTTCAGTTGACCAAGGAAGAGCAACAGATGTTCCAAGAGACACACAAACTCATCGAAACCGTCTTTGGTAAAAGCCCAGATCAACAATTAGAGCACTCCACCCCCAACAATAACAACTACCCCGTCTTGGTGCCCACATCGACCACATCAGCGCTTCTTTTCGATGCCGGTTCTGGAATGAGCAAAGAAGAATTCACAAAACAAGTCCCTTTGAATTGGTTCGACGAGATTGGCAGACAAGAATGCGGGGCTGACGAATGGGGCCCGTTCTCTGTCGAGCAAAAGTTTGACAAGATGCACGCTCTGCTACAACACAATCAAACCGACAACAACGATAGCACTGGCGGCGACAACAGTGCCGATAGCTTTCGGGGGCGTCTCTGCCGTGGCTCGGGTTTCGACAAATTGGTCCTGGCAATGGAGCAGCGTATTGGAGGACACATTCAGCCAGCGATTGCCGAGAGAGCCTTGGAGCACATGATGAAGAACAATGATGCCAATCCGTCTCACTTTTTGAACCATCTGGAGGTATTTATGGAGATGCACAAAGCGCTGGGAAAGTCCACACACCAGCTGCGGGAAAGGTGTTGGGAGGGGTACGATAAGATGGCAAAGGCTGCGTCCGATACCTTTTCGACGGACTACGGCGAGGGCCTCAAAGATTTGGTCCATGTCGCATACCAGTTGCAAAGTTTGCAGTGTCTGTGTTCCGACGAGGGACACCAAGAAGGCATGGACAAAGAATGGGCCAAACTGATTATGGGATTCTTGGCGACCATCAACCATCATGCAAACACCTGGGATATCAAACGATGGTTTAGCGTGGAGGAAAAGGAGCGAAGAACGTCGACAACCTGGAGAACATTGTCCCCAATCGACTGGCACAATCTTCTAGAGTCGGTTCTGCTGCTACGATGCGAGCCAATGTTTGCTCGGTGCTTCGGCCCTGAAATCCTGGTCTTGGAGCAACATAAATCACAACTCCAAGGGCATCTGTCTCGGTGTTCGAAAGGCGGCCGCAAGAATTGCTCGTTTGGTGACCACAAGAGCATTCATGAAGTTTGCAAGGTGGAACTAGCTGCTACTCCTGGCGGAAGAGCAATCCCATTGAACAAGTCTCATGACCGATTCGTTTCTCTTGAGATACCAAGAGACTTTGCAACCGCCCAAAATCATTTTGGCCACATCATTTATCTGTTTTGCCGATCCAAGGACAACCATGCTGCCAGACCCTTGCCAAGTTTCTGGACGACACCGGTGGTTGAGGAGTCCAGCGTGGTACCTGTGGCGACAGTGGCATCAAAGAACGCAAATGAAAGCGCTGAGCCGACAACGAATTTGTCATCCAAGAAGGCAGACGAAAGCTGCGGCGTGACAGATCCGACGTTCCATTCCTCTGTCGCTACCAATGAAGCTGATTCTTCTCGACCAAAGAAGAAAGGGAGAGCGACTAACGATGGAGCCGCTTCATCACAGCCAAAAAAGAATGTTCCTACGACCGTCCGTTCTTCCGCTAAAAGCGAAGCGGATGCATCTCAGCCAAAGAAAAAACGGAGAGCTACTAGTGCTGGACAAGCGCAATCGCCACCGGCCCTACGGACGTCGAAACGCCAACGGCGCACTCCACAGCGAATTCAGTGAGCAGCGCAGTTCGTTTGCTGTTGTTGTCTTCGCTTGAACCTCCCAAGGATCTGACCATTCTATGCTTGCCGAAAACGAAATGCCGCACAAGGCTCCCTTGACAGTGCCCGCGGTCGAATAGCATGTTGCGAGTTGGGCACGCTCTGGATACCGGTACATCATTCCTTTCTTTCTACCTTCTGCCTACTATAGTGTTGTAGCTCAAAGGTCGGTGGCATGCCATCCTACATCTGTGGCCCCCGTTCTGAGCTATATGTATCGCGTCTGAACCGAACAACTCTTTGCTTCCAATCTTATGAAACCAATTGTATAAAACTTTTAGAACTAGAAAGCTCCGCTCCAGCATGAAGTAACGCCGGCTCGTACTTGTAACACGGAGGCAAACCTCCAGAATCAATCCCCAACAGAGATAGATGTGCAGCATCATGATATATCTTGCATGACCCCACAAAGCCGACAGCTCTCTGTCAAGTTTGAATCTAATAATTGCAGACGCTCTTCACTGGCATGTACAGGAAGTAGCTGGCGTGGTTGTTTTGCAGACATTTCATACTCAGAGATTTGCCCAATTGCCTGTCCAGCACATTCGGCACGAAGAGACTCTGCATATTCGTCCACATCATCCCAAGCTTCAAAGGTCATGTAGTTGTTGAAAACTTCCTCGCCCTGTTCCATGTCCCTCATGGCTAGGCTTCCGGCGCAAGACACAGTCCGCCGGCTCCTATCCATGGCTGGATTGTAGATCTTGTATCGCTCTTGATCTGCTGTAATGTTAAAACCTGTGTACGATAGCTCTGTCAGATACTGATATTCGGCGTCACCCACATTGGCGGTTCCGTTGCACCCGTGGTTGACAAATGATGCGATTCCTGGATCGACATCGTAAGCTCGATAGCCAAAGTCTTCGGCAGTAAAGCCGTAACCATCCGCGTACCCCATAAGGATGTTCCAGGTCTTGAGGGGAATGGTCATGTTCTCAGCATGGTCCACAAACTCATCCACAACGCGAATGGTGGCATCCGTAATGTACACATTTTGCACGCAGGTATCGATAAAGACGTAGGACCCTTCCTGAATGTCGTGTTTCACAAAGATGCCACGCCCAGCATTCTCCACAGTACTTAGCTTGACCTCAAAGGACGAAATAGGAACTAGGGCCCTTTCCGGGTCAAGTAATCCTTCGCAGGCATCATCTTCAGGGTTGTTGTCACAGAAGGCGTCCGCGGCCAGTCTGCTGGGATTGTGGTACGACATAATATCGGTGGCATCGACGTAGTCAAAGGGCGGCAGTAGCTTTTCGCGAATGGAAAGCCGAACCATTGCTTCGCTAGCAAACCATCGTCCCAGCATCTCGTGGTCGTCCGAAAAGGCCATCAAAAAGTTCGCTTCACCTTCGTCGTACTCCTTAATGAAGCCAAACCGGTCTTTAGCAGCGAGAGCCTCAAGCCACTGGGACTTTACGGCTCGGTTTTGAGCCGTTTGAATGGACATTTTCAACACTAGAGCGCTGTCATCTTTTTTTAGTACTCGTTCCATATCAGCCGCAATCTCCACCGTGCCTGGCGTCGTTTCGACAAAAATCATGTCCACAGTGCGGTTTTCAGCCCTGGCAAACCAATCGGCAGCTTTTTCGTTTCGGATTTCAACGCGGGGATAGTCCTTTCCTTCGACATTCCATGATTGATCCATCTCCAAAAGAATGAGATGCTTCAGAGTGGAGTGCTGCAAGAGTTGCTTCAAAGACGCTACGGAACCTCCCACAAGGACGGCGGTTTCGGTTTCTTTGCTGCTGGAGGCCAACATGGCTGGATGTACCAGTGCACTTGCCACACGCAACTCCTTTCTTTCAGTTTTGGCATCAGCAGTAGTCTGTTTCTTTACTACAAGCTCTGATGTTGGAATCATAGGCTGACCAAGAATAGTTTCGACGGAGGCATGGTCCAGCGAGACTCCATTGGCATCAATCGAGACTTGCTGGGGAGCGGTGTGAATGATAATGTGCCCTTGGGTAGCAATGCCTACGCATGTCATGTGTCGGGGACTGACTTGATCACAGTGATATGACAAAATGGTACTATGGCTCGTTTTCATAATTTCCTTGAGAAGTTGAACGACAGAGGATTCGGTTGACAGTCGGTCTTGCAACTGATTCAGCGCACGACCGGCTAGATCCACCGAGAAACGCTGCCGCTTCGTTTCGTCTTGCTTGTCTCTCTTCGTTGCTCTTGACGTCACATCTGCACTACTACTAGTAGACCGTACAAGGAACGACTCACTAGCAGTTCCCTCCGTCTTGAACCGCTTCGACGAGTATCTCGTCGACGCGGGAAGCACGGGTGATGTTCCGAGAACGGGTGGCGGCAGACTCCGAACAAAATTGGGAGCTTCTTCCTGCGTTTGTCGAGGCGGTATTGCTAGCAACTGTTGCTGTTGATGCGTGTGTAGCAAATACGTTCGTGCCGTCGATCCAACTAAAAAGGAAACACCCATTCCCACGGCTGCACTGACCAGCAAAAACGCAAGAGACACGGGCATGTGATACAACGTCATGGTTCTGGTCTCCTTATTATTCTCGTTAGTAGCAGAAATCGGTTGTGTCATGGTGCTGTCTTCTCGGAAGTTTGTTGTGACTATCAGCGTTAGAGACGTTCGTTGTACTTGGCTCAGCTCGGTCCTCTCACAAGATTGTTGTCTTCCCTTGCTTTTGATCTGCGTTTTTTCCTCGAACCATTTGACCGTTGCGAAAACTAAAATGTGAGCAGTTCCAACCAAAATGGGGCTTCCCACTTCCCTCCGAGGCGGCACATACTTCAATATTCATGCACGTAGGATTGCATAAGCGCAATATTTTGTTCCAAACGCACCCGACGATCCTTGGCGTGAGTTTTCCCTTTGCGCGCGAAAGATCTCCAAACAACAGATTGATCCTTCGTTTGCAGCCATCACATCCCATCCTTCGTTTATTTATTATCCTGATCAGCTTGCACCAAGAGTAGCAAGTACAGATCATCGACAACGTGAAAGCCATCGCAGGCCTCCTCATCACACCAACCTCACTACCTACTGTAACCCAATCATGTCTGCCGCCACTGCCGCCGCCAAAAAGGCGAAATTATCCCATCCTCCCCTTCCGTCATTGTTGGATCAAAAGGACATTATGGCCAACATTTTTTCCTTTGTTGGCATGGGCCACTATGCCTTTGTGGCACCAGTTAGCCACGAGATGAACGATCTCTACATCACCTATTGTTTTGCTGTAGCTGAGAAGAATTGTCCAATAATTGCGGCACCCGTAAAGCGATCGGCAGCCGCTAATGAGACACTGGACACTGCAGTTTTCTCCAGTGTTCCTCGTGCGAAGTACTGGTTCACCCACCATTATGCTGGAGATAGAAAGTATAATAGCTCTTCGATTTGTGCTGCAGCTGCCACAGGAGGCAGTGTTGCAGTTCTCCAATGGGCCCGACACAAAGGATTTGATTGGGATGTGGATGTGTGCAGCGCTGCTGCTCGATTTGGTCATTTGGGAGTCCTCAAGTATGCTCATGAGAATGGCTGTCCATGGGACCAAACCACATGTGCTGTTGCTGCGAAATTCGGTCATTTGGGAGTCCTCAAGTATGCTCATGAGAATGGCTGTCCATGGGACAAAACCACGTGTGCTGTTGCTGCAAAATTCGGCCATTGGGAGGTCCTCAAATATGCCCATGAACATGGCTGTACATGGGATGCAAGGACATGTTCTGCAGCTGCCAATGGAGGGCATTTGGAATGCCTCAATTATTTGCATGAGAATCGATGTCCATGGGATAAAACAACTTGCTTTATGGCTGCTTTGAGCGGCCATTTGGGATGCCTCAAATATGCCCATGAGAATGGCTGTCCTTGGGATGAAGACACATGTGCTATGGCTGCATGTGAGGGGCATTTGGAATGCCTCAAATATGCCCATGAGAATGACTGCCCGTGGGATGAAACAACCTGTTCTTGGGCTGCCTGTGTATGGCATATAATTTTCGATATGAAAGTCCTCAAAGTCCTCAAATACGCCATGGAAAATGGCTGCCCTTTCAATGAAGAGGAGTTGCTGCGGGAAACCAGCGGGCGAACAAGAGTCTGGGTAGAAGAATTCTTATCTCAGCAGAGGAACGCCTGAATGAAGCAGAAGAGGAGGAACTGGTGGGCTCCACCGCGGCAGCGTGAAGGCGACCGCATGATTCGGGCCGTGCCATCTAAAGTACTTTGCGTAGAGTAACAATTACTAATAGTTGCTAGTTGTTGTTACTTTTAGAATATCTACTAGTTGTTGTAGTTGTAGCAGCACGGTATGAGAACCTAGAGTTTCTATCGCTGGCCAGAAACAGGCAATAACAGCAGCTCCCAAAAGAGCGGAAAGGACACATCACGGACAACTTAAAAATCATCAGTCCGGGCCGTCCTCGTAGTTCTTCGCGCGTTTGTGGATTGTCAGACACATTGCCTTTCCCCTCGAAGTTGTTGCATCCTGTTCTTTTATCACTGGGTCTGAATTATTAACTAACAGTTGATTCATTCTTCAATGGTCATGATGTGGATTGCTTTTGTGCTTCTTCATCCTTCTTGTGGTTATTTTTATTGTGTTCGTTCAACTCGTCTGGCACCACATACACATGAGTCCCGTGTCGACTGGTCCCTTCTGGTTTCCATCCCGGAATGGAGAATACATTGGACACGACAATGGATCCGGGTTTTAATTCGTCTCGTAACTTGACACCGAGTGGTTCCATAATGGGCCCCAACCCGTAGACGGCCACCACGTCGGCCTGTTGCAAATCGACCTTCCAAATATCTCTCCAATAAAATTGGGTGGAATGCCAATATTTGGGAGCTTGCAACAAACGTCGCGACTGACCAACGGCATGCAGAATGGGATTGATTTCGTAGCCAATACTGGTAGTAAAAATACCTTGTCGTGCCGCTCGAAAGACCAATCGACCATCGCCACTGCCCAAATCGACAAATGTCAGTGACTTGCTCTTGTGGAGTCTACTAACGGCCAACTGTTGTTGGAGTTGTTGAAACATGGCAGTTCCGTGTTTCTTGGACGTTGGTAAATACGGAGCTCCGCGGCCTCGAATAGCGGGTGGCAAACTGAGCAGGGCACTCAGATGGACCAATAAGGCGACGCTGGCACCGGCGACAATGTAGGGATGCTGCTGAACTTTGGTGAGAAAGGAAGCATCTTCTTGTTCTAATACTCTGGAGGTCTTGTCGTCGTCATTCAACGTCGATATGGGGGTGTCCTTCTTCGTCATGGTGGTTTCCATTCATTTCTTATTTCAAGTACGAAGTGGAGAGTGGAGAGCCATGCATTCTAGCTACTAGTAGATAGCATTCGATGACGACGATGGATCTTTGGATCTTCGTCGTTGCTTTATGTTGTTGTCGCTTTGGAAGCAAAACCTGAACTCTAATGCTCAGCAGGAACCAAGAAGAAGTTGGAGAAGCGCGACCATGAGCTTGCCCAAGTTCCGAACGGCACACGCGTCTGTGTGTGGTACCACAAGACGCTGTCGCCTTCAAATTTTCCAGCAAGAATGCAGAAACTGGTGCATACCACAAACACTATCCGGCTTTTCATTTGTACATAATAGATACCATACTAGAGAGCTTCCACTGGCTACTTATTATTACTTGCTAAGCTGAAGAGCAGAAAAAGAAACCTCATTCATTACTGTCCCATGCCATGGACCACCGCCAACGAAGACCGAACAACAAGTACATCACTACGACGGCTGCAATAAGTCTGTTGGAACTGGAAGCCTCTTCGGCATCCTCCACTCCCATGACTTCTCCTCATCCCAACAACAATATTAGTACTGGTACTCCCCAGTATGAACGACCCATGGTTTCCGTCATGAACATGAAGCGGTCCAAATCGTCACCACCCGCGCCACCCCGAACATTTCCACCCGATACATCCTCTACTACGACATCTCCTACTACTAGTAGTAGTAATCCACAAGATCATCAACAATCCGTGTTACCACAACATCATCAGTCTCCTCCTCCACGACGTCAATCTCCATTTGATGCTACATTTGATACTACTACTACTTCGTTACAACACCAATCTTCTCGTGACTACAATTCCGACTACGACAATAATAGTTACAATCATCGATTACGGAACATTCCCAAGGCATTCACGACGGCCGATTTGGATCAACACATTTTACGCGGTCTCACACTCGCGGGCGTCGTGTTGTGTTGTCTGGATACACTCTTTGGATTGTTTCACGTCGATTTGTTTTTACGGGCATATCATTTGCCGTTGACGACGTACAGTTTTGGACGCATTGTCTTCTCTGCGTGTAGTACGGCATCGACACTTTGGGCCGTCGGATGGTTGGATTCGCAAGTGGCCAGTCGCAAATTGGATCGATCCGATCTGGTGGGGTGTTTGGGGGTCCTATTGTCGATTTCCTTTGTCTTGTTGTTTGGACGATTCTGGAATTCACACTACTTGCAACTGCATGACAAAGACAGCAATAGTAGTCTGGAAGATGACGATCCACAGCCACAATCTACTACAAGCACTAGTACTATTAGTACATTCCAATACTTTGGTTGGCAATTACTGGATGGAGCTCATTTTGTATTCTCCATGACACTCTACGATACCGCATCGACCATCATGACCATTTCACTCGCCAGTGCCGTTTCGGACGATCACAACATGACCGATCAAGAACGAGTACAAAACATGTCCTCTAGTCAAGCGTACAATCTCATTGCATCGGTCATTGTTGCCACGGTTGGAGTGCATTTATTCGATACGACGGCCTTGCGGACATTTCAATGCTTTGTCATGGCCATTGCGTTCCTTTCCATTACTACGTTTGGCACCGCACAGGGGATCATTTCCGGACAACAACAACAGAGACGAAACTCACCAGCGTCACCACGAAAACAACCACAACCATCCGAGCCCTTTTGGCAAACTCTCTTCCATCGTTGTTGCAAAGGTTGGACCGTCGCCATTCCCAAGGAAAAGAAAACTCGAATCTCTCATCCACAACAACAACACAACTCTACTACCAATTCCAATACCAATACAACCACAAACAACCCCATCAATTGGCGTCAAGCCATGCAAGATTTGTGGAATCATTCCAATTTCCGACGATGGATCGTACTCGAAATGCTGCTCGAAATGCAAACACACTTTGTCCAAACATTCTTCAAAACATTCGTCGATCAACTCCTTGTCGATGTGCCACATGTTGTCAGTGATTGGTCGTTGACGCTCTTACGGCCGCTCCAACAAGTCATGACGCTATTATTCTACATTCCCATTCGATGGTACGGATATCCCCGTGTTTACACCGTCATGATTGCCATCTTGTGGGGGCTGTCCAGTATCACACTCCTGCTAGCGACACCGGCGTCGACGGCATGGATCTTGTGCTTTCTTGTCATTTATGCCGTGGGCAGTGAAGCCTTGCGAGCGGCGGGATTCTATCTCTGCGTCTCCGATTTGGTACTGGAACTCAAACAATATCATGCCCAACAACGACGTGTCAATGAACCATCGCTCGCCGGACTCCTACTCGGTGCGGCCACTCTGATTTGCAAACCCATGCAATCGCTATTGCCCATCTTGGCGGCCACCTTGTTGGATCTCTATCCCTATCGGCCACAGCAAGTCCTGTACTATCTACTGGTGTTGCCACCCTTTGTGTGTTCGATTCTGCAACTCTGGGTATGGTCCTATTTCGATCTTCATCCCAAACGAACGCACGAACTACGAGTGGAACTGCAAGAGTTTCATTTCTATCAGAGTCAAAAGGATCAACAGAAGCTGTCATCGAGTGACTTGAACAACCACTTGTACTATCACGACGAAGTCTTGGTGTCTCGTCAAGACCATCATCATCGGGGCGCGGAAGGTGCCTCCAAACGACGGGGACCAGCAGGAGGGAGCATGGTGGATGCCAACACGGGGCGCCTGACGGCTATAATATGAATTGATTTGATCCTTATTAATGGTGCAGTTGGTTAGTTAGTAAGCTGACAGCGACACTTTGCAGGTGGACGGGGGCATTTGATGGCATTGCCAATGCTACATTTAGTTGGGCTCTACATTAACCGGCCGCAGCTGAAGATAGATAGGTTGCCTCCATTGGGGTCCACTCAACATTTTCGATAAAGAGTCCTACCCATGGGAAATAACACGAACTTTCCCTTCTCCCTGCCCAGCAACGCCACGAAGTCTCCGGGATCAACCATTACAGCAGTCATGTAGTCCATTGAAACGTCCACCTGCCACCCACGACCATCTTCTTTCAAAGTGAAAGTGCCATCCTCATTGAGCCGTGCTTTCGAGAATATAATGGCAGCAAACATCTTCTTGAACGCAAGAGCTGGCAGTCTTTGCAAGCACAGCATTTGTGGTGTGAGTTTCACCTTGCCAGTGGGTTCGAGAACTTGCTCCTCAGGAGCGTCAGCCTTTGTGGTCGAGACGGGCAGTTCTTGGTGAATAAAACGTTCGAGCACAGCAAAAACTGTGCTGGGTGCACAATCAAACTGGATGAGAGTGTGACCCTCCGGGGGGTCAAAAGAGGGATCTTCCTCTCCAAAGTCTGCACTGGTGACTCTCTTGGCTGACTTGAACTCTCCCTGAAGGCCATTGAGAACATAGACCGTGGCTTCTTCCAAGATTGTGCTTTCTGTCGTTCTGCTACTGTACTACCAACTGCCGTTTGCGTGAATTGGAGTGGTTTTGTCCTCCAATCTGATCCATCGCCAAGCTTTAGATACCAGTACCGCATCCAGGCGGCCATTGCAGCACACTTCTGGAGCAGCAATGGTATCGATACCGATACAGTACCAGGTAGAAAGGGCGACTCGACGCAAGTGCACAAGAAATCGAGAGGGTTCGCTTGTAGGATACTGCGCTGTAGCCAACGTCCCTTCAAATGGTTCGTCGAAGAATGACGCGAATCATGCTAACAGAGAGATCTGCTAACAACAACTAGGCAACGGAACACAAAACGAGAGGAGTGCTAACTACAAGGTAGAACCACACCTGTACCGTACGCCAGAGGTGTGAGTCACCAGGGGACCCAATGAGATTACTAGCTACTGGTACCGTCGGCGACATCGTGAGCAGACGGGCAGGTCAACAGCGAAATGCACCAGAAGAAGGAGAGAAACATTGGAACAATGCCTAACCGAACAAACCTTTTGATTGTTTCTATGAGGGACCTTGCCGAGCAGATTCAAAAATTGACATGAACCCTTCATTGGAGTGCTGCCGTGTACGTGAAAATCGTACTTGTGAAGCTTCCAATGTCCTCAGAAGAAAGAAAAAAGCAACAAGGAGTTCTATCAGAAGTACTTTCGGAGTGACCTGGGGCCAACCAAAAGCAATGGACCTCGCCTTAGCAATTTCCATGCAATCAGCTGACGATCAGATCGCAAACATCGAATGGGCTGCCTCTCAGCCTGCACCAAGCACTTCACTTACCGTCCAGACATTCGGAACAAGTCCTCCCAAATCCTAGCTTCTTTGCACCTATATTTGAATCGAATCAATGGCCAAAGCTCCACGGTTTCAATGATCCGTCCCATCCACAGTGCGCAAAACGAGAGGTATCGCCCTTCCCACAAATCCGAGGTTGCCTAATCGCAGGGTTCCGTGTGCTCCATCTGTGAATCCAATCCTTCACGGTCGACATTGCAGACAAGAACTATCCTCCCGACCAGCCCATGGAACCCTCCCACTGTGCACCATGCTTCTCCATATCCCTGCTCTAATGGTCATTAGTCCGATCCTCTTGGTCAACAGATCAGCCGAAGAAAAGACCCCCCACCAACCACAACGCCGCAAAAATGCAATGCAGAAAAGAGAGTTAGATTGGTGGCGTCCAGAAAACAAACACAAGCATCAAGGTTTGTGTGACCAGTGGTGGCCACTTGCTAGGGATCTGGGGCAGCCAAAAGCAAGGGACCCAGCCATAGCTGTAGATCTCGGTGCAATCAACTGTGGAGCAGATACCACAAGCAAGGTGGCCTTTTGCCCACACAACAACACCTTGACACAAACAGACCAGTGGTGGCCATTTGCTAGGGATCTGGGGCAGCCAAAAGCAAGGGACCCAGCCATAGCTGTAGATCTCCGTGCAATAAGCTGTGGAGCAGATCCCAGAAGCAAGGTGACCTTTTGCCCACACAACAACCTTGACACAAAACAGACCAGTGGTGCCCATTTGCTAGGGATCTGGGGCAGCCAAAAGCAAGGGACCCAGCCATAGCTGTAGATCTCCGTGCAATCAACTGTGGAGCAGATCCTACAAGCAAGGTGGCCTTTATGCGTTCGTTGGTTGATTGATCGTCCGTTTCTACCACCAAACCCCGAACAGAGATAACACGACGATTTTGCCGAAATGCATCGTGCGACTTACCAGGTACACCAACAAACCATGGCAGCTGCAACGACCCCTCCCTGCGTGCCTGTCGATCCCAGTGGTGCTGTGCTGGCTACCGGTACCCATTGCGAATCCAGAGCGGAAGCTCCGCGCTTGCCCATCATGGTGGTCATGGTAGCGCAGGGCTCCCTGCGCTCTTTGTATTTAGCTTTGAACAATTCAAAGTAGAAATTATTCTTGGAGGCGAACCACATCACCTAGCACTTTGAGTACCTGATCATTCGATTTCCATTGGACTGACTCCATTCGATTCGCAAGTGAGGGGAGCAGCAGCAAGAGGCTCTTCTCTTGCTTGTGCCATGCACAAATCCAGGGTAACAATCTTCACCCCTTCAGGTCATGTTTCCAGTCGCATGGTGGAGTTCCATCATCGTCATGTTCTCTGCACAAGCAGATGTCCTTGGCCACAAAGAAGGAGGAAGTTAGTTAATGAAATTACAACAAAACAGACATACATCCATGCTTACTCAAGCCTTGTCCACAACACTGTCCTCCCTGCACAATTGCATGCTAGATCCACAACATGACAAAAGTTAGTCACAAGAACTGTCAAACTACAGGTAGCAACCCAACAAGCAAGCAATGTACAGACACCCGTCAAGTCTATGGTAAGCTGCTCCAGCTACATGGGGCCCACGATAGTATCACCCACAAGCCTCAGTGGGCAGCAGGATCAACCACAGCAGGCTCCCTCGCCACTGCAGAGCTAGACATACCAAATGGACAAGGCAAGGCAAGGGTGTACGGTATTCCAGGACATTCCACAAACAACACATTTTTCAAGCACAAAACACTCAACAACGTTAAACTTACACCTTGGATGATCATCCAATCATTGGACTTAGCTCGGACTCCACTTGCCCAACTTGATTGGATTGGATTGGATCATTGATGGATCGTTTGGAGCCTCTTAGTAGTAGTAGCCGTTTTTCGTTGTGTTTGTGCAGAAAGGTGGGATCTCCCATGAGAGGATTGAGACTCTGGGCTTTTGATGATGCTGCTAGCCGTGTCAATTCCCATTCCCAATCAACCACTCCAGCCCTGGACCCTGAACAGCTAAAAACCAATGAAAACAAAGTGAGCAGATTGACTCAAAGACACCAACGAGTGGCAAGATGTTTTGCACAAATGCCCCAGCATGTCATGGCGGAGTAGCAAGCAGCTACTCAACCGAGAGGGAGCCACGATCTTATCCCCCACAAGCCTCACTATGGGCAGCAGAAGAAGCACAGCAGCTGATCCACAACGATGCTAGCCAGCGCACGTGCCGGGCTGAGACAGGCTTTGAGCAAACATTATTCTAGGAGACCAACTGAAGTGCGAGAACCCAGGCAACGTTGGGATCACACCAAGAACCGGGACGTCTGAAATCAGACCCATCTGGGACCATCACTGACGTCAAGGGCGGCTGTCACCCACCACAGCCCGCCCCACAAGGTGCCTTCGTTGGTTGATCGTCCGTTGACACCACCAAACCCCGAACAGAGATAACACGACGACCTCAAACGACGCTGAACCAAACAAAGTCGACGACTTACCCGGTACAACAAATCCTTGTGGCACTCGCAACATACCCCTTTCCCTGCATGCCTGGCGATCCCAGAAGTGCTTTGCTGGCTACCGGTACAGTAGTACTGGACAAACTGGGCAACGGCAGCACCGGGCTTGCCACCATCGTCAAATGACCTCAACGACGGTTCGTTGGAAAAGAAGACCAGAGAAAACCGGTACGTCTGTCGAGCGTCAGTGGATTTTTCAAAGATACTGCTTCGTCCGTCAGGCGTCCGTTATTCTGGCATCGCAGACGCTTTCGGAAAGATCTCCGTTCTTGGAACAATGCGGCACTGCCAAAGAGTCGAGTCCATTGCCGAGCTACTAGCTAGGCAAGAAGACGAGAAGGTCTTGCCATTGCCGCGAGCTGCAAAACCCATATCTACATCGTATGCTGTTGAGCGGACCCCAATGGAAATTCCCTACCAGCAACCTCACCGAACCTGGTACTGCGTACTGTACTCAATTGCCAATGTTCTTGCTCTGGATGGGCAGAAAGCTGCGGCAGCAGACATTTTGTCACTGCGAGAGCATATCCAGCAGACAAGTACCGTCAAGGGCGAACCATCAAAAGAGTGAACGGGTTGCTCCGGAAATGCTATGGTCTGCAGCTTGTCAAACTTGACCATCAAAACTTTGATCCATTTGGAGACGTTGTGTAGGGGCAGCGGGGAGGAGAAAATGAAAATACATGTACACTTCTTCCTCTCTACATTGTGGGCCTGAAATCGGCACGAGGGTATGCCGTACGCCATTGTGTTGGTTTGTTTGACAGGCACATTATCGAGCCATCTTTTCTTGAGACACTACCCTGCAATGTGGATTCTTTCAACAGCATCATGTCTGGTGTTTTTGCATGGGAAGGTGGTCGGGCCCAGTTTGGAGGATGCTCCTTCTGCTATGGAGTTGAGAAGCTGCCTCAGAAGGGCAAGAGGAAAGGAAGAGAAAGTCATCAGGTCAGTTGCACAGTGTCAAACTTTCAGGGTGCCCTGGTATATTGCCTCCCTCACCCTTAAACTCTACGTGTTCTATCCCAGCTTCTCCCATTGCTCCTCCAGTGGTTCAAGATGGCTGCAACACCAATGCTGCACTTCCAGTTTGATTGGAAGTTGCACAATAGCAATTGCGTCCGAAGGGTAAGGGAATCAATCAACACTGTGCTGCTCCATCTGTGTCGTTCTAACTGCTGCTCTCGTCCCCTCCCCGACAGGGCGAAAAGTGGGAAAAGAAGGAGATTCGGGCTCAGCCGCTTCCAAAACAACTTCATGAGACGACAATCGATCTGTAACTGGGGTCAGTTCACAGAAAAACGTTGCAGGGGCCAAAACTACATACATGTAATCAACTATCCAAACTATCGGGACAGACGCCGGTGTTGCCTTTGCTCGGGTGCTACAGCACTACTAGAACGTAGGTCCCAACTAAATGTAGCATTGGTAATGCCGTCTAATCCGTTGTACATCGTAGAAATGCCGTCCAATTGAATCGTTCGCACCAGTGACATGCACTCAGCAAAGATGCAGTAGGGTATGCGAAGCTTTTGGTACTGGTACCAAGAGCATGTAGAGCACTTCCGGAGGTCAATGATGTCTTGGTGATGCTCCCTGGTTGGAACTGAAGCGACCCCGGTACTCAGTGTCGCTGTCACCATCATGCATGTGTCAAGGGGGGGACGTTTTCGTGGTCGGGAGAACCCAATGATTCGATTCATTCGTTTGTGCAACTCGTAGCACGTGGAGGACAAGGAGTGTAGCTAGCTACTGTCCAGGGGTGGTACCACCATACCCATACGTATTTGCACCACTTTTGCCAAATCGAGGCATTGTACTGTACCGGTACGGGGTACTTCAAGAGCAAGTGCATTGGAGCTACCATTCAGTATACGTTACGACGAGTTAATGAGTTACCGGTCGGATGGACGAGTGCTTGAAGTCGGATCTTTGTAGTAGGGCACTGCTAGTTTCCTCGAGTTTGTGAGGAGCCTCGGAAACCCGACCATTTCGTATCAGTATCTATGCCCCCCTCCCCCGATGGATCAACCAACAGGGCTTGCAGCGGCCACTTGAATGAAAGCCAAGGGTCGAAGTCGACGCTCGAAGGAGCAGTTGGTCGCACTGGAATCCATTATTTTCGCGTGGCAATAGGCAGAGCTATGACTTTGCCCGGCAATGCCTCGAATGGTGGGATGAGAAACAGCGCCGGTGTCTCGAGAATAGACCGCAACATCACCGCAGCTCACTGACGTCCTTTGCGGCGTCTGGTGTCAATCGTCTTGGTTTCAAGTGACAAAGCAAAACTTGCAGGTATCAGGGTTTGCAGCTGAAAAGGGGTCGTTGCGACTGCAACAAGGATTTGTTGTACCGGTAAGTCGTCAACTTCGGTTCTTGTCGTTTGGCGTGTACGGACGATCAACCAACGAAGGCACCTTTGGGGGGCGGGATGTGAAGCCCATGGCGTTGCGGTCTTCAAGGTCAATCACTGGTTGCTCGGGGTTCGGTCGGACGAAGCAAGACCATTAAAAAGTATCTTTTCTTGAAGACTACGAGGAAGGGTTATGTGGTGGTAAAATTGTAAATATATTTTACTTCATCTACCTGCAGGCTTTGCTTGGTTGAGGACCACTTCAGCAGTTCGCCTGCGTTTGGCTCATTCCAGAAGGGGACCATGACCCTCGAGTGATTGATCATTATCTTGAGGAACGTAACGGCTATTGTTGCTCTGTGTGGTACCGTACCATCCCAGTGTGATTGGCAGGCTTTGGTTGCCAAGCAAGGGCTTTCATTAGGTGTAAGTTTAACGTTGTTGAGTGTTTTGTGCTTGAAAAATGTGTTGTTTGTGGAATGTCGTGGAATACCGTACACCCTTGCCTTGCCTTGTCCATTTGGTATGTCTAGTTCTGCAGTGGCGAGGGAGCCTGCTGTGGTTGATCCTGCTGCCCACTGAGGCTTGTGGGTGATACTATCGTGGGCCCCATGTAGCTGGAGCAGCTTACCATAGACTTGACGGGTGTCTGTACATTGCTTGCTTGTTGGGTTGCTACATGTAGTTTGAGAAGTTATATTATGACTAACTCTTGCTTTCCCAACCCTACCAATCCAGTGTGCAGTTGTGCAAGAAGGACTCTGTTGTGGGTGAGGCTTGAGTAAGCATGGAATGTCATGTCACGTCTGTTTTGTTGTAATTTCCATAGCTAAAATCTTTCCTTCTTCTGTGGCCATGGGCACTGCTGCAGACCAGGAGGATGAAGAAAACTCCACCATGCAACTGGAAGCATGACATGAAGGTGTGGCAAACATTACCTGGCAAGGAGCAAGAGCAAGTTTGGATATCACATGTGACAAAAAATATCCAGGATCTTGGTGTGATATGCACTCCGGTTCTAGCGAAGCAGTTGGTGCCTGTGCAAGCTTCCACCTGAGGAAGCAGCCAAGTGGTGGGAACAAGAAGATTGTTTCCTTGATTTGTGCATGGCACAGGCACGAGAAGAGCCTCTTGCTGATGTTCTCCTCAAACATGGCATCATACCTCCCAATCTGGTGATTGCAGAGCGTGCTGGTTTTGAAATGCAGAATCCAGCAGGTTGGAAGAAGTCGGTAGCCAGGTTCAATGAGAGGTGGAAGGATCTTTCATGGCAAGAGAAAGGTTGGGAAGAAGCAAAGAAACTGTATTCAGTTGCATCCCCACTGCAAGGAGATGCAACAAAAGTGGTGTTGCAGGGCAACAGCATTTTGGTTTGCAATGGCCTACGGGGAGAGCTTAAGCAAGCTTGTATTGTTGACACCAACCGGTCGGAAGGCCTTCCCTTTTCCGCCCCAGAACGACATATTTTGATTCAGTTCGACTCATCGAAGAAAGTGTACGCAGTTCTGGCAGAAACGATTCAGGTGAGTGTAGGAGATTGAGTGTTACAAATATCACAATACCGTACCCTCAGTATTATAGCATGTCGCTAACTTATTGCTTTTCCTATGTCTCATGCATCTCACAGTACACCAATACACTGGTGGTAGGTGAGGTTTTTTTGCGACGGTCACAACGCAGGGTGGCAAAGAAGGTGGAATGCCAGAAGATTCTGTCACCAAATGTGGTACCAACCCCAGCAATTATGTGCAAGGGCCCTGGACACATCCCACCTTTGTGGTTCAATACCTTCTTCACCAGTGTTGTTTTCAAATCGGTTAGGCTCAACCAAGACAACACTGTCACCTTGCAAGAATCTAGAAGTGGATGGGAAGTGGAAGTTTCTCCATCCTATGTCCAGGAGGTTTTGCTTGCTCCCAGAGCCTTCATGAAGGAAATGGAAGCCTCAGTGGGGCAGGTAAGTTCAAGAAAATTGGGCATTATAATATTGCAACACGCGCCTCTAATATTGTGTATAGTTTTTGCGACTTCCAGTTTCTTCGAGACCGAACAATGTTGCTGCCAGTACACCTTCTGATGTCACTGCTGAGGAATCCTCCAAAGTGGAAGCTGTCATTAGTGTGAAATCCAAGGAAACTACTGCTGGGCAACAAGAAGGTGTGCTTCATCCCACCAAGGCACAGAGTGTACAAGTGAGGTCCACCACTAGTTTTTCTGGTGGGCACACCCCATGGAGTTCTGTGGACGTTGAGTTCCAGCAGAATCAGCATGAGTGGCATTGTGTCAAGGATTCCCTGGCCAACACATTCTGGGTGCATGGCAAGATGGCTGAGGATGTCAAAATTCAAGCATTCGCAAAAAAGGGAGTTTTTGAACTAGACATCCCCAATGATGCTGCGGTGGGAGGGATGACAATTCACAAAGTGAATGCTGGAATCCAGAAGTCTTTGGGTCTAAGGCTTGTCAAGCTGGATCATGAGACATTCAATCCACTCCATGGTGCCACCTGGAAACGTACTGTGAAGGAAGGGGACGCAAGCGAACCTCTGCCTCTTTTTGTTGTGGGTTTGCGCACTGCTCTTGGGAATGATGTTCCTCACTGTGTTGGTCTGAGCCACGGGCATGTGCTTGAGGCCTCTTTCAAAGAGTCCCTTCCATGCCAGAAGGAATCATTTGATGAGATTTTGTCAGGTGTTTTGGCATGGGAAGGTGGTCGAGCCCTTTTCGGTGGATTTTCATTCTGCTATGGGCTTGAGAAGCTGCCCCAGAAGCGCAAGAAGAAAAGGAAGAGAAAGTCATCTGGTCAGTCCTTCAACTTTTCAGAGATGCCCCAATTAATTGCCTCCCTCACCCTTGAATTTCTATGTTTGTTAACCCCAGTTTGTCCCATTGCTCCAGTGGTTGAAGATGGTGGCACAGGAGATGCTTCACTTCCAGTTTGATTGGAAATGGCACCATGACATTGCATTAGTCTATGTTTGAGGGGTAAGTTTCTTGTATCTCCTTCAGAAAGTCACAGCAGCACTGTTGCCCCCTCTCTATTGTTCTAAATGATGTTGCCCCCCCTGCCAAGGCAGGGCGACAGGTGGGAGCAAAGTAGGTATGGAGCTAGTAATATATGTAAGGGGGGTTAGTAGATGTAAACGACAGGGCTTTTGTTGGCTGCAGCTGCTAGTGTCACATTCCCTTCTGTCACTTTGAAATACGCATTCAAAGCGCTGCCAACCGGTACAGGTAATGGTGCTGCCCACCAAGAGATAATAGATTGGGAGCACCGTCGTCTTCTTCGTAATAACTAATTGCACAAGGTCGCTCTGTCCACATCCAAATAGTATCCAAACGACTGGCTCATTTTCAACATGGAGAGTGCTTTCTTCTCACTAACCTCGCAGAGCTCCTCCCATGTCAGAGTTGCTCGATGAATCCTACTTCCCTTGCGGATGCGATCGCCACGAGCATTACCCTTGTATGCTCCCAACTGCAACTGACGACGCAACTCTCGTCGCCTTTGATGCTCGTGCCTCTTGATTTGTTGAGCTTCGAGCACTTGGATGACTCGTTGATGGCTCGGTGGATCCCGTCCCACGGATCGAAAGATCTCATCCAAAATCGTGACATTCTTATCCACTGCCAAGTCTTCCAAGCGAAAGATGGGCACATTCAAATAGTTGATGAACCCCTGCCAATACAAGTAGATTTCCAGTCCACGAAAGATGAGAAAATGGGAGAGCTTGGGGTTGCGGTTCATGGCAATGGTCCGGTGCTGCATGACTCCCTCCAACTCTTCTTTGGTAATGTTAAATTGTGCCATGAGGACCGTCTTGTTGGAAATGGGAATATGACTGGCAATGTAGTTCATGTAGATGCGGCTGTGATCCGAATCTTCCCAGAGCGGATCGGTAAAGGCAATGCTAGTGAGCGTTTTGAGTGGGTCTCGTACCAAGTGCCAAATGACACGAAACTTGCTCTTGTAGAGATGAGTGGTCGACTGCCTCCCAAAGTAGTACTTGTCCTGATGAAAAATGTGCTTCCACGACACGGTTCCCAAATGCTGTGGAGTGTGTTCGTCGGTAGTGAGCCCCTGCAGTCCAGTCTTGGTCAAGAGCTGCTGCATGAACCATGTTCCTCCTCGTGGCGCCGATGTGATGAGCAAGGGGAAAATCTGGGATCTCGACCCGGTCTTGTTGTTGTGTACATTTCCGCAGCATTCCGAGTAAAGGGTCGATCGAGCGACAATGGTAGCACAGTGTTCTTCCGAGCAACAATAGTCACTGGTCGAATTGTGGATGCAGTAAGAAGCATCGTCCAGGCCATCGTTGCCATGCTTAAAGTAGGAAATCGGAGGTGGAAGCTTGTACGTCTTTTTGGGCGTTGCCGCCTTTTTGTTGTTGGCTCGTAGCTTGTCATGGGCCAAGACGGATTCCAATTCGGCCTGCATGGGGTCAAACAAGGCTTTTGCTTGATCAGGGAAGGACCAGCGAAAGATCAGTGTGCCGCCGGTCATCAAGACCAATGCCATGCATACCGAGAACCGATTGTTCCGGTTGGCCAGAAATGCGTTTACTCTTCTCCACATCATGGTTGTCGTTGACGTTGGATACCTTCAGAATGATTTTGCGTGAAGTACTCGTCTGTGTTTGTGAAAAATAAAGGAGAGAGTTTTCGGATAGCAAGATCGCAACGGTGATTCGGTTGGCCTGCTCATTCATCTCGGATAGCTGGAAGCCGTATCTCGTCATGTTTTTACAGCTTCTCTTTACTACTGGCGTACTCCATTGAAAGACAGGCGTTCTGTTGACTGCTGCTGTTTCTTCTTCCATGCCTCTGGTGCAAAGGAAAGATGGTGATGACCAACGGCGCTGTTGCTGGTGCCATGGGTAGCATGATGTTCGTCCATTCCAAGCGTTCACGTCGAGCATCGCTCGGGCGGTTCTTATTGATATACGCTGATGCCGGGCAGATTTGCCACGCCTAACAACGCAGTGTAAATATTCAAAGTTTACCCTGTTGCCCTGACGCTGTATCTTTCTTCGTCAAGGCGAGGCAATTCTAAAAGATACGCGTTTCAATTCGCATCTCTGTCATTTTTCTCGTCCGTGTGTACCAGGTATGGGAAAGCGTGTTGACTCCCTGCGCGCTTCTAGCTAGCTAGAGTTAAATGGTAGCTGGCTTGGTGGCCTTGGCTTCACTGATACAATGCGTCTCAGTTGTGTTCCTTTCGTCACACTTTGAAGTTTGCAGTCGCGTGCAAGGCAAATGAGGTGCGCCCTCATCCAGGTTGGGGGTGGAAAGGTGCGCCTCCAACTTCCTCTCGCTGGTAACATTGCCACCTTTGGGCATCTTCTTGAATAACGGGGGCAAGTTCTTCGCCAGCTACCACTGGTAGTAACAAGCTACATTATACATCGTTGGGAACATGACATGAAGCCATAATGGTACCGTCCCAGAGATATGGATCACTTCGGATGTGTGGCTTCATCGTGGGTGTTCTCCTAGTTTGCTGCCTTGGCAGTGCTGCAGCTTGGCGGACTACGGGTGGCGGCAACCGCAACAATATTCTCCATCGTCGCTCGAGAAGAAGTAGTCCAAGACTTAGGGGCCGTGCATCCGGCCCAACAAGACACAGACATCAGAGATCGCCCCGCAGTAGCAATAATGTCTATGTGTCAAATCCTTACTGCATCAAAATGTACCGTAAGCGCCATCGCGAATTAAAAACGAAAACAGGAGCCAGAAGGGGGTGGATGGAAAGCAAATCCAAGGGGGCAAGTCGTAAAGGCGAGGGGTACACCACCAATCTACGACGAGGCATTCCAGATCGGGAAAGCAAATCCGAGGGGTACACAAATCCACGACGAAGCATTCCAGATCGGGAAAGCAAAAGCGAGGGGCATACCACCAATCCACGACGAGGCTTTCCAGATCGGGAAAGCAAATCCGA